TACTAAAACGATGAAGCAGCTGAATGATTTGCAGCGGGAAGAAGTAGAGAGAATTGGTTTTGGTTCAATTTTGGGTATGAATATTCTAGAACTACCTGGAAGATTAGGTTATTGGCTGGTGAAGAATTTTGATGCTCGGAGGAGTAGTTTGGTGCTGCCGGATGGTACGAAGTTGCACATGACTGCGTGTGATGTGCATTCTGTACTTGGCTTGCCGTATGGTGGTGCCAAGATTGAGAATAATAAGAGCAACAGGGACACTAGTTTGTTGAGAGAGTGGAGGATGAAGTTTGGGAAGTGTAATAACAGAATAACCCCAACGGAGTTAGCTGATGAGATGTTTGGGTGTAAGGAATGAGGTGAATGGTTTGTTAGACATTTTGTGTTGTTAGTGATGTCGCTTTTGGTTGACAGTACGTCGCAAAGGTATGTTAACAGTTTGGTCCTTGACCACTTGAGAGATGTGGGCAGAGTGAAAAGGTTAAATTAGTCACACTATTTTCTGGGCCACTCATGTTGTTGCTGGTAAGTTGTTAGTGTGTGCATTACTACTACAATATGTTGCTTTTTAGTGAATCTAATACATTGATATGCTTGCAGGTTTTTTACGTTGATCGTGTCGCTATTTTCACTGATACCGTGCCAAGGCTATTTACAGCAATAAAGGGGTGGACAGGTAAAGAGCTTAGAGAGAGAAAACAAAGAGGTGAGCGGAGGAGGTTTTGGAATGGGACATGACAACGGGCCATTGAAGAAAGGGAAGCACATTTTATTGACCGAGGTGGCAGTTGGTCATTCCGCTACAAACGTTGAGCATATCGGTACATCCTCTAGAAAACAGCCTACGGTGGATAATGAGAAGATGGTAATGTTGATTATTAATAGCTTATAGTGTTCAGAATTTTGGCTAACAAAGTTATCTTTGAGTGATAGTAGTAGTTGTTTCTCTACATTCATTTAGGTGTTTGTGAGGAGATTTGAAGCCAAAAGCAAGATCCTAGCAAGCACAATAATTGACATGATCAAAATGCTTCAGGAGGCACCAAGAGAAATGTTTGTGGATGAAAAATTTTGTAAATTGAGAGGTTTAGGACACCGGTTGATGGGGGTAAATGACAAGAAGGACGTGGTTCTTCATGCCTCATCTAAATGGAAAGATATTCATTATTTAGATGATGATCCATACTGGAGCAGCCCTGAATTGATGGTTTGAAATGTTGTTTCCTTGGAAAGGTTGGTGTAAAAGAAGTGGATGCAACAGTTGGTGAAAGAAAGGAAAGACGAAATGAAGTCCAGGTAGATTTTTGAGTCTGGGATTATCGAAATTTAATTTCTATTCAGTGTTATGTTTTCTTAAAACTGCACATTGTGTGTTTCTTTTTTTATTGATTATAGAAAGCAACTGCCAAGAAGGAAAAGCGAAAGGGGAAAATAACATTATTCATGAAGTCACCTTACATGAAACGTGCTGTGGACCTGAGAGAGAACGCAAGCAGCACTGAAACTCGAATTTGGAAGTGGGTGATGAAAAACACAGAAGCATCCAGGTTTGTACATTAGAATGTAACATGCAATTCTTTTGTGAAAAGAATAACACATTTTTTGTTGTATTGGGTGAAATTCTAATTGGTATCGTGTTTATGCGTTTTAAATGTCGGTACAAACAGGGATGAGGTGTTGTTTAAGTGTGGGGACCTTGTGTTGAAACGTGGAGATTTGATGACACTACAATCTGGGGAACACATATCGCATCTTGTGCTTGATGCGTGGTCTACCATTCTTAACCACAAGGAGCTGTACCGTAGTGTGGATTCCCCTTCCAGATTATATGCAAAGTCATTCAAATGTGTAAGGCATTTTGATGCATTTTTTAAAAGCAATTATGCATTCTTTGAGATGTGTGGTGCTAACATTTCTGGGTTGGTAGTTATATATGTCAGAAGGTGCAGTTCCTGATGATAGCAATGCGTTTGGTAGTTTTTGTGATGCATTGGATGCTTATTGGACATCTACCACCCCATTAAATGCAAATTTGGTATTGTATTTGCTATCTTATTAGTGATATGTATTCATCCTTTTGAATTCATTTGGTTTTGTGGTCTATAGTTATATGAGTAAATGGTTTCATAACCATTTGATTTGGTGCAGATATTTATCCCAGTCATGCAATTGAAGTGGTGTTATTGTGTGTGTGTAAACACGAAGGGAAGTAGGCTAGAAGTGTTGGACCTCTCATCATCATGCACAAGAGCCAACGACAAGTACGAGGACATGCCTGCTAAGCTGGTTAGTTAACGAAATGCATTGTAGAGTTTTTTTCTCGGTGACGAAGTAATGTGTTTCACTACTCATCCTTTTGTAAACATTGTAATGCAGCGTGACATGCTTGTGCAATTCTTTGAGAACGAAGGGATGGAAGGAAAACTGAGAAAGCTAGCTACACAGCGGCCAACGTGGCTTAAAATACCTTGGAGGGAGCCCACATCCATACATGAGTACGGTGTTGCTACTATGCGTCATATGGAGACATAAATGGGTCCTGGAGTCAAAGGATGGGACTGTGGTTTAAGCAGGGAAGATCGGAAAGCCTTTAACGCATTGCGTTCAAAGTACTGTGCTTGAATTATTTTGGCAGAGGTTAATGAGATGAAGGAGGAGATATGACCAATGCAAAGACATTCGTGGCTTCTTGATGTTGGAAACAAAAACAATATTTAACCTTTGCACCATCGTCTCTTTGGGGTTTTGCATACTGTCGTTTTTTTTGAATTGTGTTCTTTTAATACATTTTATTGTTTTATGTTGGTTTCAACACTAGTCTCATAGATGTGACTGATCCGTTGGGGTTAGATAGTGTTGATGGATATTGGGGATTGATTGTTTCGGTGAGATGGTAATTGAGTCATTTGCATTTTAGGTTGTGTGTTTTTTGATGACTTGTTTGTACATTACGTATTAAGTAGTGTTAAATGTAGTTTGGGTGGGATGCATATGCAGCATGGCATAAGGTTGCATTCATGTATGTGCTGGAATGCAGTAGAAATTTCAAAAAATGGGCGCTTTTCCACAAATGTGTTGAACCATATGTTTATAAATGGTGAATGCGATGCATACGCGAAGGAACAGAGGGTTTAATCCGTACATATAATAAGATACTCATTTATAGGATGCAGTCATGATGTTAGATTGATGCATTGGTTTGCTTATAGTCAGATTTACAAGATAATGATAAAAGTCTTTCAGGCATATCTTCTTTGAAGTGCACTAGAAAGATTGTATGTTGTTTGTAAGACAATTCAAGTGAGGACAACGTTTGAAAACGTGAATGGTTTTGATCCGTAATGGTAGAGTGCATTAATTATGTAAAGTGAGTGAATGACTTGTTTTAAAAAAAGGTGCATTACATGCCTGAAGAACATAGTAGCTATCTATTTATGTGTAATATACTGCATGTGACATAAAAGATTGGAAAGCGTGATATATACACATGGTCAGATTTCACAGGGTGAATGCATTACAACGGGTGAATGCATTACAACGGATGACTGATGCATAATAATTGGAATAGGATGCTTTTATATATATGAGAGAAAAGACATTGGTAAGTGTATATATAAGAAAGAGTTTTGCAACAAGAGGAAATACTTTAATGAGATATTTCATTCCAGTTTATTCATTGGGCAATTTCTACTATCATGGTATCCCATCTCACGGCAAGTTTTACACATTCGCTTGTTCTTCTTTCCTTGCTCTATGCTAATCTCCAATGCGCTTTTGATTCTCTTCCCACCACCCTTGTTGTGTACTTGTTGGGGAGGGAGTATATTAATGTTTGATGGGGCAGTTGTGCCATAGAATGACTCAAAGATCTGGTCTTATGGTGGAATAAGATTAGACTAAATTGCATTTTGGAGGATGTTCTTTTGTTGTCGAATGACCTTTGAAAACCCATCCAATAATTCTGGTTTTTGTTCGGCAGCTGCAACACAGTAGTGAATATCCGACCACAAACGGTTCAATGCTGTTTTTTTCCCTTCAACAGCTGTAACGGCGTCAAAATCCATGTCGGGGATATTGATCATTGGCTTCAACAAATTTGTTTTACACCATCTGGGGGTGATATAGAAATCTAGAATCTTATGAATGTTCTCGTCCTTGAAAACTAGAAATATGTGTCTGCATAATAACCCAATGCGCATGTAGTGCTTACAGCTGCATATTGCAGTGCCTTGAATGCGTGAATATTCGACGGTGAATGACATATCCCTGTTGTCCTTGACTAAGTATTGGTTGTGTTGCTCGTCAAGTTCTTCGACTTGAAGTACTCGGCAAGAAAAACATGCTGCACATATCTCAGCTTGAACATCATAGAAAATAGTCAATGTGTAAACCGAGGCTCGATGCTTCTCAATATCCAATGGAGTTTTAAACTCTGGGTAGCATGCTTCATCATTTGCATTGTAGTCTGCGCTTTTGTGACGTTGAGAGTCTATGGCACTTTCAAACTACATAGGAAGCTCCACGAGGCTAAAACTTTGCCCTGTAAAATCATCAAAAAAACTGTTCTCACTTTCGGAACGAGAAGTTGTACGTAGTAAACTTCCCATGAACAAATCTCTAAAATACGCCGGAATCCAAGTGGTTCGTATTTGAAAAATTTTGGTAAACCACTAGTGAGATTCCAAATTATATTCGGCCATGAGATCGTGCCACTGCGTTTCAAAATCAGCTGGCTGTAGATAGTGACTCCAGACAATGGCGTTGAGTTTGGACAAAAAATCTGCATCCTTAAGCAATTTGTCATCCACTTTCTTAACGACCTTTTTCATGATGTGCCACATACAATAACGGTGAACGGTTCCTGGGAATCCCTGTTTCACAGCACCTCAAAGTGAAGGGTCTTGGTCAGTAATGATACATTTAGGGGCAGTACCCATTGCATTTAGGAAACACCAGAAAAGCCAAGAATAAGATTCATCATCTTCTTTGTTGATCAATCCAGCCGCAAATGTAATTCATTTTTTATGATTATCGACGCCTGTGAATGGTGCAAATATCATATTGTACCTGTTCGGAAAGAGGTAAAAGAATTCATGAATTAATGAAGGCATGAAATACTCCTGACGAAAAATTTGCTAAGCTAACATGAATATACAGGAAACCCATGAGAAGCGCAATGCACGTGCAAAGTACCTGTTGGTCTCATAAGTCGCATCAAACGAGACTACATCACCAAACATGGCATAGTTTTTCCTAGCAACAGGATCACACCAGAATAACCTTGTCAGTTGGTTGTTATCATCAACGTCGTATTCAAAGTGAAATGCAGAACAAGTTTCGTGTTTCTAAACAGCTTGTCGATAACCATTTGTGCATCCCCGCCTGCAATGTATGCTTTGAGGTCTCGTCTAAAATTCTTAAAGTCAACAGCCGTGGCTCCAATATTAACGTAGCCACCTACAGACTCTTTGAAAAGGCGGTAGGACTTCATTATTCCAATATTAGCCTTAGCACAATTCAACATGAATTTCTTGTGACCAATATCTAGATTTATATTGACTTTTAAGAAAGGCCTAGAAGGTGCAAAAAGCATGGAATGATTGTGGCATTCTTTGAAAGAAGTGATAGAATAACCGGCTGACCCGGACAATCTAAATATTACACATGCCTTGCATCCAACGCGGTTCGATATGCATCTTCTTTTTTTGGGGAATTGAGTCTGCAGCATCTTGAATTGGAGACTTAGAAGTGACGGAAACATTCTTTTGACCCTCTCTATTACAGACAACATACTACCATATAATCACACCGTCTAGAGACTTCGTTGTCGTGCTTTTTCATGCATCAAAGCCAACGAGAGCTGCATATTCTCTGTAAAATGCAATTCCATCCTCTAAATTTCTAAAAAACATACCAACACTTGGTTTGGCGCTTTCTGGGCAGGGAGGAGCGAATCCACTATCGCATCCAGCTTGACTGATATGCTCCGTCGAAGAATCCGAGTCTGTGTGTAGTTGTAGTGACAGATTAGAACACAAATTGATGTGTAAAAAGCGAGATAATACATTAATGAAATTGAATTATTATGAGCCCTAGACAGTAAAAGAGGACAAACCTAAATCCGGATCCATGAACACGGAATCGATGTTGTGTGATATTGAACCGCGAAGATTTCTGCGTTTGGGTGCGACGGAATTAGACGGAGAAGGTTGTTGTATTTCGCCATCTTCAACAAGGAAGGAGATAATGTGCGCTAATTCTCCGGGCGAGAGAGACGGGAAAATGGAAACGAAAATAGGTAAATACGAGTTGGATTGTTGAAAGTACAATCTAGCCCTTATGCGTTACATTTGATGAGAATCAAGATGGAAGGACTAGATTCATTCTCATTTCTCTCCTAAGTTCTCATTCTCACCAGAACTTTTATATATATATATATATATATATATATATATATATATATATATATATCAACAACTTGTAATTAATTAAAAAAATAATTTTTTAAATAAAGTAATGTGTTATATATTAGACATTTGATAAAATGTGTTTTGTTTGATAGTGTTACTACGTACGTGCTATTATTCATTTGAATATCATTATCAAGGTCTGCGTGTGTGATACAAAGCGAATAATACGGAGTATTAAAAATGTACTCATTTTGTTAAATATACTTAGAATTCCATCTTTTTCTTCATAGGAATACTTTTAAAGTGGCGGATCCGGGAATTTATATGCAAATAGTAGGGAGGGGTTCAGGTGCAGCGCACCCGATTTTTCTTTTAAAAAAAGCAATTTAAGATGACGAAAAAGAAATGAATTTTATATAAAATAAGTATGCAAATAAGTAAAACAAAATATTTTAAAATGTAGAAAAACATAGTATAAAATATGTAATAACTTATATATATATATATATATATATATATACACACACACACATATATATACAATGTATTAAATACTTTATCATTGTATTTTATTTAAATAGATATTTTTTCTTTTAGACTACTTTTTTATTTTTTACTTGGGGCACACTATATATTTCATGGGGGCAGTCTTTTCATTTACTTAAATTCTTAATTTTTTTATACTATATATTTAAAGAAAAAACAATTGACTATGTTCGGTGCCCCCCATAACTAAGACCTAGATCCACATGTGTATGTATATCTGTAAATAATTTGAAATAATTTTTTTATTATGAATTTTAATTTTGTTAATATTTTTATTTTATTAAAGTTAGAGTAATAAAAAATATTATTATTCATTCGAGTCGGACCAACCCTTGGTCTTGAGTATAAAACCTGAGTGAGGCCTTAAAGTACATGAGCTATAATTTATAAAGCCCGAGCCTGGCCCGTATCGGAATATGTCAAGCCCGAGCCTAATATTTTACTGAGATGCTTTTGCAGGTGGAACGAATACTCGAGTCAATGATCAGGTCTCACGCCTGCTCTACACAAATTGGAATTGCTGGATAGGTTTTTACATATTCCGTCCTTGAGTATTTGTCTACTTTTATTTTTTCGATCAAAATTCGCAAATTTAATTCAAATTAAATAAAAGTTATGTTAGATATTAATATTAAAATAACATTTTAGATTTATTTTATAAAGTATTTTATCGAACCAATATAACATATATATTTTATTAAATTATAGATCAAAGTAGAGCTGGCAAATCGGTCGGTCAGGTCGGGTTCGGGTTCGGTCACTTCAAATTCGGGTTATTTCGGGTTCGGGTCAATTCGGGTTCGGGTTGAGAACTGTATGTTCATGACCCAGTGTCATCGGGTTCGGGTCGACCCAACGGGTTAAGACTTTGGTTTTTTAAATTTTTAAATTCACATTAACACTTACATTTTCTATTAAATAAATTTAAAATATCAAAAAAAAGTATTAAATCTTTAATACGTAGTATTATTTTATTTTAAACTCTAAAGTAGTTTTTATATATATAAATAAATATAAGAAATTTAAAAATGCTTACGTTTTGGAAAAAAGTAAGATAATTTTGCAATATCATTAAAATTTTATCTGAAAATATAAATTTATACACTAAAAACGAGTAAAAAAGTATATAAATTTGAAAAATTCTTACTTTAATGGGTCGGTCGGGTCGGGTTCGGGTTCGGTCGGGTTTGACCCATTTTTAGCGGGTCATTTCGGGTTCGATCAACTTCGGGTTCGGTCATCAAAACCTTTGTTCAAAACCCAGTGTTTTCAGGTCGGGTTTCGGGTCAAAAACAGGTCGGGTCACTTTTTGTCAGGTCTAGATCAAAGATTTAAAATGATTAAATATAAAAAGTCAAGAGTAAACAAATATAGAGGTAATACTAAAATTGGATACATCCGAAGGGAGACTATGAGTCTCTTCTCTTCAATACTCTTATATCTAGGGATTACTACTTAATTGTATTTGAATTAATTAAGATCTAATCATATCAAAACTAATTCTAAGGGCACTGGAAATACGTTTGAAACCCCGGGGCTTCAAACTTTCTCTCTCTGCCACGTCAGCTTTAACTTACACCCAAAATTCACTGGAAATGGGTTTGAAGCCCCAGGGCTTCAAACTGGGGCTTCAAACCTTCATTTTTTACATTTTTAAATATACATCTTCTAAAATTAAATTAATAAAATGTAATTAATTTATTATTTAACTAAATTGAAACACGAATAATAAAAAAATACATTAATTAAATAAAAAAAGCGACAATAATTTAAAAAAAGATACATTAATAAAAAAACTAAGGTAAATTATATTTCTCCTTGATCTCTCTTATTCTTTGCTCGTAGATCATTCGTCCAATCTCCGACAACGTCCCGGGGTCGGTTTGCATGACTTTGATCTCGGCCTCCAGCTCCTTTAGCTTCAACTCCTTCTCCTTTAGCTTCAACCTCTCTTGTTCACGGAGATTGAACGCCCGAAGTTGTTCAACCATTTCCCGGCCGATTTCGTCGCGGGAAGAAGCGGAAACAGAAGCGGACCCTCCCGAACCAGAGGCAATGGATTTTGCCTTCTTTTTTCCGATCGGCCGTGGAATGGGGTCCTCGCCATCGGAATCCGCAACGTTGAAGGGAGGGATTTGATCGGTTGAACTGATAGTCTCGTCGACCTCAACCTCGGCGTCGACGGTGGATCTTTTCTGGAACGATCCGCCGTCGGGATTGTTGAGTTGTTGCCACTTCGGGGAACGACTCAAAATCCTCCAAAGATCGATGGGCATCTTGCCTTGGTGCCCGTCGTCTTGATACCGGGTCGTGGCAAGCCGGAGAACATTGGCGTCGTTCGTACCGCTCCTCCGGGACCGGGAGCATTCCTCGTAAACTCCGATAAACTTTCGAACTTTACGGTTGATGTGACTCCATTTGGAAGTGAGTTGGTCCCGGGTTCGGTAGGAGCCGTCCTTGTTCATCGCCGTGAAGAACTTCTTCTCGATACGATCCCACATCGCATCCTTCGTTTGCTCCGAACCCTTAAAAATGTATTACACAATTTTTTTTAGACACCATTAAATATAATATATATAAATAAAAACATAAATAAATTTTTTACCAATGATAGGATGCTCGGAGACGTCAACCCAAGCCGACGCCAATATGCACTCCTCCTCCGGCGTCCACTTTTGGATTGATCGTGCCGCCTCGGTCAACGTGCTTTTGGCTTTGTGGCTTTTCCGGCGTGTACTTTTTTTCGACCCGGACGGTTCCGGTTGAGTCTCTGGAACCGAATCTCGATCGACGTACCCCGATTGTTGCGTCTCGTAGATCGGCGATCGATCGCCCCACTGTTGGTACAACCACATCGCGGCGTCACTCGGCGGGAGATCATCGGGAAAGAAGCCGGAGCCGGAAGGATTCATGTTGAAAAAGAGGGGGTGATTTCGAATTTTAAAAATTGGGAAGAAGAAGAGATTGAAGATGAAAAAGGTGTGAGAGATTGGGATGGGGGGTTTGAATTTATAAGAAAATTTTTTTTTGTTTTTGTTTTTGGGGGTCCAACGGCTATAATAGCCTTTAGGGGGGGAGGGGGAGACGAATGACGCAGCGTCATTCGTTTGACGCACGGCTCCTCACGCCCCGTTAACGCCGGCGGGGGGCGGTGTTTAACGCTCCCGGGGCGTTAAACGCCCCGTAATGCTGGTGGGTGTGAGGAGTATACCCAGTGCTCTAATTCGATCACAACTACTTAGATTAGGTGAAAAGAACAAATGTTAATTTCAATGTCATAGTACACATTGAGGATCAAGATATAGATTATATGCATGACAGATCGACAGTCCACGGATTAAAACCCAACATCATTATAACGGCATTATGCAATAGTACGATGCACCAATCTCACCAAATTGAGCCGATTCACGGTTACCCCCTATCCACACCTATATAGCGCATAAATGTAATTTCTCAACCCGCTGCTATAGTGCTATGTGTTCTCCACTCGTGCTGAATAGTTGTTCAATAATACTCTCGCATAGGGCACGATGCTTTTTCGGTTTACCATAATTGACTAGAAATCATTTTAATTTAGTTTAGAGTGAATTTTCAAAACAATCTTGTTTCGTATTTTCTCAAAATGGTTCTTTAATATGTACTACCTCCGTCCCAGAGTATTTGTCCACTTTCATTTTTACACACCATGCAATACACTTCTTTAATCCATTTTATCTTGTAATTTGTATATTAAAAAATTATAGAAATTATATATTAATAATCTATATGTTAAGACAAATCAAACAAGATCACACATAACTATATTTAGGCTTACACATTGAGAGAATTTGATGAGTCAAAGTGCTTAGATGAACAGTTCCAAAAGTCAAAACTGGATGAATACTCCGGGACAGAGGGAGTAATAATTACCAATGTGGTCTATTGTAATTGAGATATTTTTATCTAAATTGTCATTTGTAAAATATTTATTAAATGATAGTTAAATAAAGGGTATTTTGATATTTCCCATCATCTAAACTATAAATTAGTCATTAAACTGGTTCTTTCAAATAAAGTGGGTGACTGCTAGAGGAACGGACTCATCCCAAGTAGGCTTATGGACTCCATCTCAGTAAAACATGTACTAATTAATTATCATTTCTGAAAAATACTTAATTATAAAGAAAAATTTCGAGAATATAATTTAAGTCTAGATGATTAGGAATAGTAAAGTACTTTTTATCTGACTAGCATTTAATAGATAATTTTGGAAGAAAATCATTTAGCTAATAAATGTAAGTTATAATGTATCACGCAGATAATTATTGCTTAATGACGACTAATAATTTGGAAAAATACCTTATTAGAAAGAACCGTTTTAAAAATTCACTCTTTAATTTTATATTAGAATCAGGGTGAATTTAAAAAATAAGTAGTGAAATGACTGTATCTTTTATCAAATCCTTAAAAAAATTTAATGAAAAAAGTAAATAAAACTTGACCATGTGAATAGTATATAGACAATTAAATTTGGGGCATTGAGAGTATTCTTTAGGAAAAAGACTAAGGTAGAAATAAAGCATAAAATATTAAAAAATAAGGGCTTCATGTTTTTATTCTCAAAATAAGAGTTAAATTGTGTATACAATGCCAATCATGTTAATGTACAATGCCAAGAGATATTATGAAATGTTCACGTATAATGTTATATATTATCACAATGCAAATTTCTATTTTAGAAACAAAAAATATGGAGTTCCAATTTTGATAGTTTTTTTTTGTTTTACTCATATTTATGGAGATATCTTTATCTTTTATATCTATATACCAATTCCGTCCCCTTATAAATTTTTATTTCAAATAATGTACAGAATCTTATCATTTTCTTAAATAATTTTATTTACAAATTGATAAAAATAAAAAAATTACAAATTATATACTTAAAAAGAGTGCTTCTTTGGTTCTCCTTGGGTGCATACCATTCTTGTGGACCTTCTCACATAAAAAAACCTTTATTTATTTATTTATTTAAAAAAGTAGATGATTGTTAAGTAATACCTTAGTTAAGGAAATGCTTATTTTGCTCATATGTAAGTCCATGGTGGACCTTAGATCAATTTGTCATTACTACATCAAAAGCTAATCAAAACAAGATGTGACAATGAGAACTCTATTTTTATCAAATGACCAACAAAGGCACACAAGCAAATAAAAAGTAGGGAGAAGTTATCAAGAGGTCTTAATAGTAACTAGAAAATTTATCTGGAAATGGACGGAGTATCTAGTATCAAAATAAGCAATACAAACATTATGGTGTATGTAATGTTATACTCTCTCCGTTCTCAAAAATACTTCCTCTTTTATTTTTTCCACTTCCTACAAAATACTTTCACTTTATGTAAAAAAAAAACACTTTTACCCTTAATATTTCATACCTTACCTATCACAACATACTTTTTTTCTAATAATCTATCAATTACATTTTACTTTTACCCATCACATCAAGAACAAAATTAGAAGTCAACTATAATTTAACATTTCCTTAATTTTACACCTGGTCAAAATAGGAACTTTTTTTTTAGAACGGAGAAGTAGTTTTGTATTCTACTCGCAATTCATTGTACTATTATTCATATAAATATATTTAGGCTCCGTTCCGTTCAACTTATTTTTTCTGATCTGATCTGATTTTAATAAGTTCTGATCTGATATGATCTGGTCTGATCTTATCTGATTGGATCTGATCTGATCTGATTGGATCTGATCTGGTCTAATCTGATCTGATTGGATCTGATCTGATCTAGTCTGATATGATTAATTATGATTTGATTTAAAATTTAAATAAATAATTTTGATTTAACTTTATAATAACGTTTGAAAATTGTAATGATAATTCATATTATAATATAATCAATATTTTTTATTTAATGATTATTTTTTAATAAAATAAAATTAGTTAATACATATATTAGAATAATCATTCATATTATAATGTAATAATATTTTTTACTTTATGATTATTTTTTTTGTGAAATTAGAATATTAATTTAATATTTTAAGAAGTACTTCATATATACATTAGAATAAATATTTAATTTATATATACATTCAAAAGTAATTAAATTTAGATAATCAATATATAAAAGAGATAGTATTTTTATTAAAATATCTCATCCTTATAAAAGATCAAAACTTTAGAAACTCAAATTACAAGTAGCAATAAAAATATATTTTAAAAGTACAATTAGATTGACATTGTCAATGTATTTTAAAACTGATTTTTCCGACGTCTAATAATTAAGGATTACTTTCTCATTTTTCTATTTAACCTATTTCTAAAGTTTATTCTTTTTCATTTTTAATAATAATAATAATAATAATAATAATAATAATAATTCTTGATGGGATCTGATTTTAATAAGTTCTGATCTGATCTGATTGGATCTGATCTGATCTGATCTGATTCGATCTGATCTGATCTGATCTGGTCTGATCTGATCTGATTTTAATAAGAATAAGAAAAAATAAGAAAAAATAAGTTGAACGGAACGAGGCCTTAGTCATACATCACAAACCAAAATTTTCCTTATATTTTGGGAGGGAATTAGTACTATTTTCAATCTTCTTTTAAAACTCGGTTTGCAATGATTTTTTTTAATACTACTAGTATTAAATTTATTAGTATTAATTTTATGAGGATGTGTTTCATCCACTATCATTCCATTCTAACTTTATAAAGTTTAAAAAAAGTGTTCCAAAATAAAAACCATGTAATTGAAATATGATTAAAAAAAGAAAAAATTGTGAAACACATATTCTTTCTTTTATTAAAAAATAAAAAGGTTGAATATTTATTTTAGAACGAATTAAAATCAAGTGTTTTGGAAATCAAACTGGACCAGCGATCCAACTGGTTGGACTGTTACCTGGACACGAACTCAGTCCTGTTTGATGGATAAACACGTTATTCAATTGAACCGTCCAAACCGGCACACTCGAAGAATTGGGTGACTCGAGTCGATGCAGCCGGTTCACGGGTTTGGACCAAAGCCTACTTTCTATTCCTTTCGTTCCTTAAACCATTCCCATTTTGACTTTGGGCCAAAATAAGGAAAGTGTAATTTTGGTTGACTTTCCAATTTTGCCTTCGATGTGATGGGTAAAAGTAAGATGTGATAGTTTGATTATTAGTGAAAAAATATGATGTGATAGGTATGGTAGGGAAAAGGTAGGGGTAGAAGTGGCTTTTTAATAAAAAGTAGAAGTGTCTTAGGAAATTGGAAAAAAATGAAAAGGGAATGATTTTATGGAACAGAGGGATTATTATATTTTATCATTTAAAAATTCAAATCACAAGTGGGAATCAAATTCAAGTCAATCATTCATACAACGCCGCAAACCATTTGCCAAGTGAGCTATCACTAATCAAACTAACTATAAACTATTGGTCGTAGTGTTTTTTTGGGAAATGCTTGGTTCACAAACACAATGGTCACAAATTTCACAAATTTACTATTTGGGTCTGTTTGGTATATGGAATTGACGGAATTGGAATTGAATTGGAATTGTAATTTCATGTGATTCAATTCCATAGAATTGAATTCTTCTAATTCCAATTAATTTTTTACACTATCAATTCCAAATCCATATATTTTTTATGCTACCAAATACCAGAATTGGAATTGAAGTCCTCAATTCTAATTTCATGGTTTGAATTCCATGTACCAAACAGGGCATTTGTGAACTTCCATGGAAAAAATTAAATGGTCTAAAATAATTTTAAAATAAAATTTTAAATCATAATTAATAAGTTTGTGAAGTTTGTGAGTATTCTGTTTGTGAACCTAGCATTGCTCTTTTTTTTGCATGTGTGCATTTGTTTAATTGTATCTTATTCACTTTATGAACTTCTAAAATAGTTCCAAAAATAAAGAACTACTAGTATTTAAATTTTATTCAAAAATAAATATAATCCATATATTTAATACCTGAAGAATTATTGTTATTTTTAAAAATCAACTAAGTTTAGTAATTATAGTTCAATATGCTACTCGGGGTACAATTTTTACTATTTCAATCATTTTATTCAATTAAATATAAAGTTTAAAATGCCAATGGTATATAAGAATACATTATCTAGTCTTTATTTTTTGAACATATGAGTATCACCTTATTATTCAGGTATTTATTAAACATTCATTCTTGATTTTTATTAATAATAAAAACAATAGAGTAAAAAAGTGAAGGTGTGAAATAGTATATGCACTACGATGCTAAAAACTAGATAGAAAAATAAATAAATAAATAAAAATATTTATATTGATCAAAAAAATATTATTACTATAAACATCATTTGACCGGGTCGTTGACCCCAATTTGGCCATTTTGATCGATTAACTCTTGACCCAGTATGATTGACGTCCGTTCTGATTTTCAGAAGATTGATTACAATAAAAAAAGAATGATTAATTCAATTCTTAAAACAGTTTTGGAATAAAAAAAGTAACAAAAGTTTCCCACTTTCCCTACTTATACCCCATCTCGTGAACCTCTACACTCCCGCAAAATCCCAACTAGATGCAATTTGTGTTGTTGCAGTGTTACTGTAAAAATAAACAAAGTCGATCTAAACGTACGAACAGTTAATTAGAATAGAATCTTCAAGGAGCATCATGAAATCCAGCGCATTTTCAATTCACGTATTTCATCTCCTCGTCGCCGGCGCACTCTTCATCAGCCCCTCGGCCGCCGATGTCCCCCTATCCCCCGCCCCATCTCCGTGCCTGGCCGCCACAGAAAATAATGACACGGCCGAGTTCATCCGTACGAGCTGCCAAAGCACGCTTTACCCGGAAATATGCTACCACTCGCTGGTCGCGTACGCGGGGAGCGTGCAACGGGACCATGCCAAGCTGGCTCTGGCGGCCATCGGCGTGAGCTTGAGAGGAGCCACGCAGGCGGCGGCTCACGTGAAGAGCCTCTCTGCTTCGAGCCAGGCGGCCACTAGCGCCGCCGCAGCCCTCCGGGACTGCTTCTCCGCGTTAAGGGACACGGTGGACCAAATGCGGGATTCGCTGGCCCAGATGAGGCAGCTCGGCGGTGACACGGAGGCGCTGCGGTTCCAGATTAGCAACGTGCAGACGTGGATGAGCGCCGCCGAGACGAACGAGGACACGTGTTTGGACGGATTTGAGAGCGTGGCGGATGGGCCCCTCAAAACAGACGTCTGCGACCGCGTTGGGAAAGTCGTGCGGCTCACCAGCAACGCATTGGCTTTGGTGAATTACTTTGCTAATTAACCACCCGTGATCCCCCCGTCAAAAAAAAAAACAAAAAGAAAAACCACCCGTGATAATAGATTGAGTTTTTATCGTGGAATGTGCCTCGTCTCATTTTGATTTTTGAGACGTACTCCGTACTGATTACTTTTGTGTTACCGAATACTCCCCCTCCCTCTCCTCTCCTTTTTTTGGAGTATATTTATTTCTACTGTATCAATCTTTATTATATATTTTTATTATTTTTTAAAATTTGTGAGCAGTCTCATGAAGTGTTTTTTTGGGACAGATGGTGATACTTGCATATTTTTAATTTTAAATTTTTAATTGAATTTATATAAAAATTAGTCTAAGATTAAAAAGTAACATTCAAATATTTAAAAAAATATATAAATTTTACTCTCTTTGTCCTAATATAAATCGTTTGTTGTTGCTTAGAGATTTTGTTGAAATTATTTTTAATTAACTTTATATAAACATTAGTGTAAAATTAAAAAAAAGATAATTTACTTTATTAAAATTTATTTTAGAAGTCTTATAAGAATAAAAGTGACATGATTATATTATTTTATCAAATTAGTTGAAAAAATGGGTAGACGAAGTGGTCAAAAGTTACCATTGTAAATAATAAATATGCAACTTAAATAAGAACATACAAAGTAGAAAATAAAAATAGAAAGAATTTATTACTACCTCCGTCTCATAGTATTTGTCCACTTTAATTTTTACACACCATCCAATACACTATTTTAATCCATTTTATCTTGTAATTTGTATACTAAAAAATTATAGAAATTATATATTAATAATCTATATGTTAAGATAAATTAAACAAGATCACACATGATTATATTTAGGTTTATACATTGAGAGATATTGATGAATCAAAATGCTTAGATGAACAGTTCCAAAAATCAAAACCGGACGAATACTCTGGGACGGAAGGAGTATTTTATAAATGAATAAAAAGAATAAGAAAACAAAGTACTCCCTCCGTCCTATAATGTTCTTCCCACACATTTTTTACTCGGTCAAACTTTAATCACTTTGTTTACCTATTTTCATTAGGTATTTGATAAAATAATATGGTCTTATCACCACTTGTTTTGTAGAACTTTTGATGTAGTTTTTAAATATATAAATTTTATTTTTTAATTTTACACCTACAATCAAATAAATTAAATTGAAAATAAAGTCGGTCAAACTTCGTAAAATGAACCGGGAAGATCATTATAGGACGGAGGGAGTAATTACAGTTTGACGTGGTAAATTTTGAACTAGAGAATATTTTTGGGGCAAATGGAATATAACGGTGCGAATGACACAATCCATTTTTGAGTGAATCGCAATCAAATCAAATTAAAGCCACGCTAGAAATCGGAACGGTTAACACTAGAGAATAATCAAATGTGAATTTGTAGAGACAACCCATAATCAGATGTGATGGAGAGTGGTCTATGAATCATAGACCATTCTCATGTGTATAAATTCATAATGTGTACTCCATCCGTCCCAAAAAGATTGTTACGTTTATTTTTTGCGCATCCTTTAAAATACTTTTATATCGTCTCAAATGCCAAATAAACTTTCAAAACAATTTCATCTTATGATAAAGAGTAAATATGGTAAATTTTAGAATTTTTAGATGTGAGTAACAGTGCTTTATGTGATGCGCAAAAAAATGAAATGTAACATTTTTTTTGGGACGGAGGGAGTAATTTCTTACACGATTATCACATGTGTATATTGTTATTTTGACGTCTCGATGTTGGTAAAATCGTCTTTGTTTCTCTGTTGCATTTTTGTATGGTTTTCTCACTTTTGAGCATAGTTTTGAAAACCAGACCGGCGACCGAACCAGCCGAGGCACTGGTTCACCGGTTCACCGGTTGAACCAGTGGTTCGAGTGGTCGAACCGGCGGTTCGAACAATTTTTTTAAAACACTAAATTTACACATATTTCTTACTACAAATCAAACTATTATGTTCCTAGAATATCAAATTCTTGAATATAGTTCCCAAAAAAGTAAGTTTAAGAGTGTTACATGTCAAAAACTAACATAAGAGAATATCAAAATACATGGTCATCAAACAAGACCAAGCAATGTCTAAAACAAACACTTCAAATGCTAAGATTGTTAAAAAAAAACTAGTAAAAAAACTGATGCTGAGATAAAAAACAAAATACAGTATGAAATATGAATTGTCAAAGGGTGTTTGAATATAGAACATCAATCTTTAAAACTAGTAAAAAAAATTGAAAACTGTCAAAGGGTGTTTGAAGGGTGTTTGAATATAGAACAAGAGTAATTTACCTAAATAGGACTAAAACATAATGACTTTCCCAAAATAGGACCATATGTTTTTATTTTCCAATGTAGGACCTTTGGTCATTATTAATTAGTCATTATTCAAGTAAATGTCTATCATTGCTGGGCATTATTCCTTCCACGAAGACATTATTAAGTCCTATTTAGGGAATAAAAAAGTTTAAGTCCTAGATTAGGAAAGTCATTATGTTGTAGTCCTATTTAGTGCAAATTTCACATAGAACAATAATCCTAATCTCAACTTAAAACTAGTAAAAAAAATGACTCCAAGCCGCCACTAATATACTAATTTCGAACATCAAACCCTTCCATTGTCGCCACCAACTAACATAAATATAATACAATTAAAAATTAAATATTAATACCTGTGTGGAGATGGAGCCCTATGCGTCGGACATGGAGAGGAAGATGACCGGAGATGGAGAAGAAGATGACCGGCGATGGAGAGGGTGCGAATCGGTGGAGAAGAAGAATCGGCAATAGGGTTTTTGACTTTCTATCCGTTCAGTACTTCAGTTCCGTGCTTTAGTGGAGTTACGTCAATATGGTTTTAAATTTTAGGATTTTAATTTAAAGTTAAAAAAAAAAACCGGAACCGGTAAAAAACCGGCCGATTTAACCCGGTTCTCACTGGTTCGTAGCTTACAACGGTCTAATAGGGCGGACCGAACCGGTTTAGGCACCGGTTCGCCGGTTTCCGGTCCGAACCGGCCGGTTCGGTCCGATTTTCAAAACTATGCTTTTGAGTGAATATTATTGTTGTTTGTTGTTCCAAGTTGGTGCTTGATGATTGTGTATACCTCTATCTGATTTAGAGAGGATTTTTGGTTGTACCCATTGATTTTCTTAGTGATTCGGAAAGGCTTCGTGATTTTTTCTCGATTTGGGGTTTCCACGTTGAATTTTGGTGTTCGTTTATCGTTTGATTGATTGTTTGTTGTCGTGTTTAATATTCTTGATCGGTCATATGATTTTGCCCATTTTGAGAACACAAAGATGAGAAAATTATTAATTGCTTCCGCAAGAAAAGTTAGGTAATTTCCCAACAACTAGTATCAGAGCTTGAGTCATATTTTTGGGTTATTTTCTTGTGTTGTTAAATGGAGGATGGGGGAATAATTATATTGAACTCCTCCAATTATCAAAGTCGGAAACCCAGGATGGAAGATATTTTATATATTAACAATTTGCATGAACCGACCTTGAATATAGAGATGCCAAATGATAAACAAGAAGGTACTTGGAAATTGCTTAATCGGAAAACTGTCGGAATGATTAGGTGATTCATTGATGATAGTGTGTTTCAGTATGTAGTTAATGATACCAATGCCTATAAACTTTGGGAGAAACTGTAACGCCCCAAAAATAGGTCTATCAGAATTATTTAATTGATAATTTATTAAATACTAAGAATGATCCAAAAATATGTGATTTATAAAGTTTGTCAATAAATAATAAAAATTATATCATTATGTAGAGTTTGACTGTCTAATCCCAATGGTTCAATTGGATACCAATTTGGAGAAAATTGGACCAAAAAGTGTAACCCGATGGGGACCAAAAATAGTCCCAATCAGGGACTTGCGTTTGGAATCATGAATATCGAAGCCCTTCCCACCGAGACGCCAAAACAGGAACTATGTACATCACCAATTGGCTTCTTCTCTATTTATTCTCCTATATAAACTGCCCTCACTCTCTTCATTCTTCACAAAAACTCAGTAAGTTTAATATCATTCTGTTCTTGAGAGTGTGAGGAGCCCAGGAAGAGGCAGTGTTCCTTGATATCTCTTGGAGAGGAACATCGGGGGACACCCAAAACCCAAGACCTCTGAAGTAAGAATTCTTGGAGAGGAGGGCGCAGGGAACTGGGTGGCCATTCTTGAGAAGAAGGCGGAAGGTCTCCTCAAGGGCTGGAGTGCGAGCTAGGAGGAAATGTGTGCGAAGGAAACTTATCTTCCTTCTTCCTCCACACGTTGGGGAAAGGGAGGTCCTCCGGGGCCATCACCACGAAGAAACGGCGGTACCAATCATCGATCTTATCAACCGGGCTCTCTAGACACTGCATATCTGTCCGGGTCTTGAAGCTCACGTACCTGGTGATCCCCTAAATGGTGAGATACAAAGTCTAGAGGGGGGTGAATAAACTTTGAGACAAATTTAAAAACTTTTTCGTTTCTTTTGAAAACGTGTAAATGAGTGTTAATCTAAAGTTCTTGTGAACTAATATTATGTGCGGAAGTTGGTGGGTTATTGGAGCAGTAATCAATATGGATGTGTTAGTTTCACAGTTAATATAAGTGCAAATATAAGTAAAGATAAAAGAGAGAGACACGCAAACTTTAACAAGGTTCGAAGGTGGGGTAATCCTTCTACGTCTTCAAATTCCACTATGTAGTTGGTCGTTGAATAATGAACCAACAAGTACACTTGTGTGAATTTCTGCACGGTATATATTCGCAAGGCCAATATTGCTACTGCACTCGTGCTGGCTTTGTTGTTCCTTCGAAGGTCATGCTTCTTCAACAACTGCAAGGTCCGAACAATACGACTTGCAAGATCAACTTGTAGAAAAGTTGATGTGCCTCGTTTTAATCAAGATGTTTGATTAAAAGTTGTATCCTTCAACGTGATGTGGTACTTGAGGCAAGAAAACCTTCAAGTGTTTACACTATAGCTCTTTGGTGGAAGGAGAAGTTTGCTTCTAGATAAGGTGTAACACCCTAATCCGTCCAGGTCTACAACCCCTTTCAGATTAAAGTATTAACTTAGTAATCGTAAAATTTAAAACTTTTCAAACACTTTTATTTATCATAATAATATTTTTCATATCATAAATAGTATAGAGTTTTCAATATTGCGGAAGCTTAACAAATCATAACCACAAACATAATTTATTTATATTCTTTAATTCAAAACCATCACATCCATTCCGACTATCTCACCTCCGTCTGCCTCCAGGATCACGTCACATCATTCTATTGACCTGCGTGTAGCAAATAAAACACACTACACGCTCAGCGGTAAAGCTGAGTAAGCATATCTAATGCGTCGAACATCCACATAAATTGAATCTCAATTCATAATCAACTATTTGATATCATGCACATAATGTTCAGTTCAGATATTCAATAATCAATATTCAATTTTCAACATTCATTATTCAATCATTCAACATGTATATTCATTACTTGTCATTCAACAATATCCTTAAACTATTCTTAGTCTAAGGCCAATCACTTTAATATTTGTCAACCCTTAAATGAATTCTAGTTTAAATAATTAAATTATATTCCAGTTTACAGAGTATTCCTAATAATCCTTAAGCTAGGCCTAGTTTAAGATAAAAGGGTTTTGGAAATCTTAAACTTACCTTCACTTAAGGCTAACCAAAAACCGACAGCGTAGTGTTCACTGTTGGGTGAGTAGTACCCCCAAACGAGTAGGTACTCAAGTTTGGTTCTTGGATCCCGTACGTACGTTTTAACCCTAGCCACCAGGCATCATACCCGCAAGGCCTAACTTATATAGGTATATCTTAGAGTTTTTCTAGATACCTTTCACATCAACATTAATATGGGTATATCTTAGAGGTCTTCTAGATACCCTTGACAATACATATTATTTTCACAAACATCAATATATTCATTATGATTTAATCATTCATAATTTCCATTTTTAATTAGAACATTTATCAAGATTTAATTATCATAATCATCAATCAATAATTATTACCATAATCATCAATCAACATAATATTCAATAACAATTAGCGGCCTAGTCTCGAGTGTTAACACCCAAACTTATTGTCATGCATCACATAACATATTAGGATTAATCAAAACATTATATTTACTTTAAAAATGGTTTCATTTCTGTCTTGGAGTGGAAAAATATCATGATAGCATTTTTTTGGAGTTAATTTCCGAACATGAAGATTTTGGACAGGTTAAAATGGCCTGTGGCGGTACCATCCTACCGTATCATGGTAGTGCATTACCGTCGCACGGCAGTGCATTACCGTCGCACGGTAGTGCATTACCGCTACTGCGTGCTGCATTCGAATCAGGAACAGTACTTCGTCTTCAACCTCGGTTCAAGCTTCGTGAATATCATTTTGAGCTACCAAACTTCAATTAAACTATATAGAAATGTTCTCCAAGGTTCATAGATCATTTTGGTATCATTAATTCATAGTTTTAACATCAAATTCAAGGTTTATGATTCTTAGTTTTTCAAACATGTCAAACACAAAACTCAACCAAATGACCATTTATGAACNCTACTGCGTGCTGCATTCGAATCAGGAACAGTACTTCGTCTTCAACCTCGGTTCAAGCTTCGTGAATATCATTTTGAGCTACCAAACTTCAATTAAACTATATAGAAATGTTCTCCAAGGTTCATAGATCATTTTGGTATCATTAATTCATAGTTTTAACATCAAATTCAAGGTTTATGATTCTTAGTTTTTCAAACATGTCAAACACAAAACTCAACCAAATGACCATTCATGAACGTAGAAACGATCTATACCAACATTCTAGTCATTAGATATATCAACGGGCTTACCTCAAAGCTAAATGAAGGTTTTGAAGATTTTCCAGCGAAACTTCCGGCGACGACAACTTCCAACTCCGGCGACCTTTCACCAAATTGACAACACCAATGCACTCCTCTCACTCTCAAGAACAGAATGGTAATAAATTTATTGATTTTTGGTGAAGAATGAAGAGAGTGAGGGTGGTTTATATAGGAGAGAAATGGAGAAGAAGCCAAGCTTGTGATGTATTCATCCCTGTTTTGGCGTCTCAGTGGGAAGGGCTGCGATCTTCACGATTCCTAACGCAAGTCCCTGATTGGGACTAATTTGGGTCCTAGTCGGGGAACATTGTTTTGGTCCAGCTTTATCCGAATTGATCTCCATTTGCACCGTTGCAATCAGACAGTCAAGTTCTATTCAACGATATAGTTTTTATATTTATTTGAAATACTTTTTCTGACAGCATCTTTTTGGGTGGTTGACTTTGACAGAGTCAAAATTTGTTTAATTGACCTTTATTCAAAAAGGTTCTCACATTTAATTCATATCATGGTTTATTTCAAGAATTCATTTCAAAGTTCACTTAATAAACAAATTATCCATTTATTCTTAATTTGGGTCTATACTCAGGTTCCCAATTAAGATCACACAATAAGTTAACATGTTGGATTTATTTCTATGAGATTTATCCCAAATATGTTTATTGGATATCAATACATATTTTATTTCGGGCTAAAGCATAACAACAATTTATTTTAATCAAAACGAATTTGATTAATTTATTATTTATTTATTAATATAATTCTAGGGTATGTTTTGGGGCGTTACATTTCTCCCCCCCTTAAAGGAATTTCGTCCTCGAAATTTTTCTAAGGCTCAACATTCAACATTTTGTTGTGATCGCACTTAAACATGACCGTGACATGTTCATTCGGTTAAATCATAATCACGTCATTATCCACACGGATATGTATTCTCAAATTGTCGATGTTACGAAACTCGTTCTTTCTTCAAGAGATTAACAATCTTTGATTAAGTCAGGCATTTCAGTGATCTTTTAGTATCAACAACTAAGGTTTCTTTGCAATGTATACGGTTGTATATTTGACATACTCGCACATAACTTCGTTTATTCACAATTCTCAATTGTACAACGTTGATTAATGATATTCTTTCTTCGATCGAAAGTCCTTTGGTAGCATTTGCAGTTTCAAGTTCGCAATAGATGTAGTGGAATATTTGGAGGTTGTTTAATTCATACGTCATAGCGTAACTTTTTCAAGTTACTTGAGTCATCTTCATCTCGTTCACATAGTTCAACAATGATTCGTAAGTATATCAATGGCTTTTGTGGTCCAAGATTTTCAAGATATGGATTTTGTCATCATTTACGAGGAAGTACTGTCGATTTGTTGTACATTAGTTTTCCGTTATCGATCTCTTGTCGAAATAATTCTTCGTTCATCTTCGTAGTAGTTCTCATTATCGTTAATGAGTCTATGTACCAATTCCTATTTATACATGATAACGTTTGAGTATCGTCTTGTGTACGTCTTGTCGTATTCAAATTTTCTTTCATTAATTTGAAAACATATCTAGATAATCTAGATATGATAGCGAGAGATTCGATTGTAGCACTATGGCTGATCTCGTTTCGAGGAAAAAGATAATATCTTCAGTACATGATTCAATTCATGAATTCATAGAGTGAGAAATCTTTACTAGTTTTTATACCAACATCGCATATAGGTTCGGGATCTTCACTTGAATGATTCAGCCTATTTTTGTGACATCATTTCTTCTCTGGTTGTCGCACATACATTTCCTTGCTAGGATTCTAACAATATCATCGATAATAATATTCAGAGATAGCGTAATCGAATTGATCGTTTTGTAGTCCACAAAGAGAGGTTTAACATAATGTTTAAGTCAGGATAGTTTTACTATTGTGATCGAGTCACGTATTTCACAGGGTATAGTTTTCAAAGATCGGTATCATGGTATCACCGAGTATTGTTTTGATTCCAATGAAGAATCATGGTTTTAGTATTTTGATACAAAGAATGGAATTCAATCTTTTCAAGATTGATCAAGCGAGATGTTTTCAAGGGTGTAGTTAACACAACAAGTTTGAGTATTTCAAGGATATGAGTCACAAGATACAAATATAGCGTTTGCTAATTACCGTTACTAATCGTAGGTTTTCTTCCTTCAATGTTTCACTCTTTGGAAGTTACTCAAGAGGTCGTTGTCTTAGGAAATAGCCGTTTTGACTTTTCATCTTGGATTTGAACTTTTTTCAGGATAGCGAATCTAACTGTTCAAGAGTCTCAATACGTCATATCGTCAGCACACTATAGTATTAGTGAGTACGTTCTCGTCTACAGGTAATTTGAATCCATTTTACTATACGTATTTTGGCTGGTGATAATTACCTTTCCATCATTGGTCAGGTTTCAGAGACTATATATATCATGATTATGGAAAGATTATCTCACATTCTCACATTATGGAAGGAACTTCTCGAACACTTCCTTACACCATAAGATTCGTTGGTCTACTTGGCAGTCATTCTCTTGGTAGAAATTCAAAGTTTATGGCTACTGCAGTAGATTTAGGAAGGGAATTTATAAGGCGAAAGATTAAACTTGCCTATGGAGGAGATAGTGTGGGCCTTCAAGGAGCTGTTGCTTCAACAGTCTTTACCAATGGTGGTCTCGTTAGAGGTTTCATTCCTGGGTACATAGCAACACGACGGGTCTACGGACCTACGTACGCGTACGGTGTAGAGCATACAGTTTCCAGCAACTATTACAAATATTTTGAGATGAATCATGCCGTGGAAGCTTTCATCATTCTTCCCGGAGGAGTTGACACTATGGAAGGTTTGTTCACCTTGATCTCGTGGGCTTCTAAAGGGTTACACAATAGACCCATTGGTCTCTTGAACATTGACGGTTATTTCAATAACCTAATCAAGTTTCTAGATGATGCGGTGAGGTAGAACTTCATGGCTTCCAGTCAGAGGAAACTTTTCATTTCTTCTTTCTTTGTTGATGAGCTTTTAGACAAGCTAGAGTTTGCTAAAGCTTTCCCGGATCCTGGGGCTAGTTACGACGAGTTTATAAATCCTGAGAGATTAGACTTAGAATTGCATTTGTAACTTTCTTCATGTAATCCAAGTCGTATTTTGTGTTGAAATAATATTATTCATAAACATCAATGGTTAGCCATATGCAAGCTACATTTTCTTCATTCTTCAGTCTTTCATTATTGGTGTCATTGTTTCACATCTTGTTTTGTATTGTCACCACGTCGCAATCTTTCATGTCAATAGGGTATACGAACTAGTCAATTACTTTTACTTCATTATTTCAATCAGACTACATCAACGTTTTCGATGATAAGCAATTAGGTCATTTATCTCTTCATAACAAGGCATCAGTTCATTCAACAAGGTTGAGCGGTCTATAGCTTCTAACAAGCAGGTTATTTGAATTTGATCAAATAAGTTGTCAATTCATAGTAAAGGATAGCAATTCTCGATCGTCAGTTTGTTCAAGTTTCTTAACAGGGATTTGTGAGTATCCTGACCGTAAATCAATCTTAGAGAATACAATGGATTCTCTAAGCTGATCAAATAAGTCATGATACGAGGTAAAGGATAACGAATTGTTCAACTGACAGTAGTTGATATAGAGTCTCATTGATTCGCGTATGAACAAAACGGTATTCTCCCAAGGAGGAAACACTTGATCAAATGATTCTTTGTCTGGAAGTCATTGATGGAAACACGTTCAATACAGAGTTACGAATATTGGTCCTTTCTAGGATCAAGATTGACAGAGAATTCAATTTCTCGGAACGATGAAATATTAGGAAATTCATATCAGAGAGGTGAAAAACTCTCGGCACGTTACTTCAGTTCAGATGTTTCATTTCGCGTAAACTTCACACTTCTTATGGCTGAGACGTTTTCACATATATATACGAGATGAACTCGGTCGGTTTAGAAATCAGATTTGCTTTCACCTCTATGAGGTTACCATCATCGGTCTTCAGTTGAGGAATTCTTAATTAAGAGTTGTCAACAACAACGACGTTCAGTCAATTCATACTAAGGATAATGTCAATTTCCTTCTATGGTATTTCAACGAGGTTTTCTAAGGAATTGTCGTTTAATGAACGATTTCGATTCCTAAGATATAATCGCATATTTGCATCTTAATGAGTTAAATATCAGAATGGGATACTTTAGATAACAGAGTTTATTGATTCTAAACGTTCGTGTTTGAATCGGCGATTAGATCGTCTTGAGTCCACATGAGTATCTTTGACATCGGCTTCACAGATGTTTTTCAACAATTATCGTTTCTTCATAGTCGTCTCACTTTCGTACGATTTTGCGATGCAGATCAGTTTCATCCTTCGCGATGTGATGCGTACGTTAATAACGGATCATAGGGTCATATATTTTTCATTCATTCTTGCGTCTCTTCACTGAGTACGAAAGTTCTACTAGAGTCTAAGCTCGATACAATTTTAGTACTAATCAATTGTTATTCAATGAGAGTTCTAACAGAGTAAATATTTACCAATTAATTTCTCATACCTTTCCTGGAGCAGAGGGACGCGAGAGTCGTGGATGTGATTGACTAATTTTTTTTTCAAATTTTGATCCGAAGATGGGTTTTAAAACCATTTGCTCTGATACCAAATTGTAACACCTTAATCCGTCCAGGTCTGCAGCCCCTTTCGGACTAAAGTATTAACTTGGTAATCGTAAAATTTAAAACTTTTAAAACACTTTTATTTATCATAATAATATTTTTTATATCATAGACAATACAGAGTTTTCAATATTGCGGAAGCTTAACAAATCATAACCACAAACATAATTTATTTATATTCTTTAATTCAAAACCATCACATCCATTCCGACTATCTCGCCTCCGTCTGCCTCCAGGATCACGTCACATCATTCTATTGACCTGCGTGTAGCAAATAAAACACACTACACGCTCAGCGGTAAAGCGGAGTAAGCATATCTAATGCGTCGAACATCCACATAAATTGAATCTCAATTCATAATCAACCATTTGATATCATGCACATAATGTTCAGTTTAAATATTCAATAATCAATATTCAATTTTCAAAATTCATTATTCAATCATTCAACATGTATATTCATTATTTGTCATTCAACAATATCCTTAAACTATTCTTAATCTAAGGCCAATCACTTTAATATTTGTCAACCCTTAAATGAATTCTAGTTTAAATAATTAAACTATATTCCAGTATACAGAGTACTCCTAATAATCCTTAAGCTAGGCCTAGTTTAAGATAAAATTAAAGGGTTTTGGAAATCTTAAACTTACCTTCACTTAAGGCCAACCAAAAACCGACAGCGTAGTATCCACTGCTGGGTGGGTGGTACCCCCAAACGAGTAGGTACTCAAGTTTGGTTCTTGGATCCCGTACGTACGTATTAACCCTAGCCACCAGGCATCATACCCGCAAGGCCTAACTTATATAGGTATATCTTAGAGTTCTTCTAGATACCTTTCACATCAACATTAATATGGGTATATCTTAGAGGTCTTCTAGATACCCTTGACAATACATATTATTTTCACAAACATCATATATTCATTATGATTTAATCATTAATAATTTCCATTTTTAATAAGAACATTTATCAAGATTTAATCATCATAATCATCAATCAATAATTATTACCATAATCATCAATCAACATAATATTAAATAACAATTAGCGGCCTAGTCTCGAGTGTTAACACCCGAACTTACCGTCATGCATCACATAACATATTAGGATTAATCAAAATATTATATTTACTTTAAAAATAGTTTCATTTCTGTCTTGGAGTGGAAAAATATCATGATAGCATTTTTTTGGAGTTAATTTCCGAACATGAAGATTTTGGACAGGTTAAAATGGCATGTGGCGGTACCATCCTACCGTCTCACGGTAGTGCATTACCGTCGCACGGCAGTTGTTAAGTCATAAAATGTCGTATTTTATTCCTTCATTTTTTAGCAGTTTTAATATATTTAATATGCATTTTATACCTAAATGAGCATATTTTCTAATATTTAGCATTTTAGGCCATTGTTTACATTTTATACATAAAATGCATGATTTTGAGCATATTTATATTTGATAATTAATTTGGAGTCCTGATCTAAGGAAGATAATGGAATTGGGCCTATGGAACAAAAGCAATGGGAGAAGAATGAAGTTAGAACCAAGCCCAAAGTTGTATTTGATCCACCACCCTTTTGACCCAACCAAATTATTGAAGCAAGCAAATAAATAAAAGAGGAAGAAAAAGAAAGAACCGTAGAAGAGGAAGCAAACCAGCGCAGAAGAGAGCAGACTCCAAACGGAAGGCGCAAGAAACAGAGTCCTTCCCCAAATCCAACGCAAATTCCAAGAATCCTACTCCAAATTGAAGATTCCAAACTTCACAATTATAAAAGGAGACAAAAGCCACAAGAAAAATCATCTCCTTCAACCCCAACTCTAGAGGGAGATCGNATGTTTAAGTTATAATATAAGTGATGAATTGTTTAAGTGTTGATGTTTAATTGTTCAAGTTATGATTTATTGATTGATTATTGTCTCTGGAATTATAAAACCTTCTTAGGCCAAATTAGTTGACAAAAAAAGATTAAATCTTTGATTTAATTGTTCTTGTTGAATTAATTTGACTTTGAAGAGATTTTAGCTCTATGCTACTGATAAATCTAAACTCAAAAAGGTGTTCTGAGAACTATTATTCACCAGATTTTACTTAAATTGGACCAAATTAGGACTGCAGCCTAATCCAATTTAAATTGATATTCTTTTAATGTCCAAAGTGCTTTAAATAGCCGAACTTTTCTAGAAACTAAGTGTCACTTGATTAGTACTTGCTGCCTCGCTAAGTGGTTTTTATTAGTCAAGGTTCTCGAACTGATTTTGTTAAATAACCGTAGTGTTACTGCAAAGTCGTTATGGTGATGTTTTCCACAAATCTTAATGCGCTATTCTTAGTAGTAACTTAAGGGTTGGTCTTTGGGTTGCTAAGGGTAGTAGGGTTTAGAGTTAGGGTTGGTCTTAACATGAGCTAATATGAATGGGAAAATAGGGAAGAACCGTTGGTGGACCTCTTCTTTAGCCTAACCCTGAGTTTAATTAGCAGTTTAATTTCAAAATCAAGGCAAAATTAATGGGTTAATCAAATTTGTTCAGTTTATTTTCTATTACAAATTATAAGTATTTTCAAAACGGTTTAAGTTAATTATTATTGTCTAAGTTTTTATAAAGTTTACCGTGAGATGTGTTTGTGTGTTTGTTTTCTCCCTGAGTGTTCTTCTGAGTTCGAATTGCTGTTGTGGGTCCATCTCTTATCTGTTATCCTTTATCTTTATTTTATTTGCATTTTTATCTTTTTAGAATTATCATTCAAACCCCCATATCTTTTAGTATAGTTTTAGTTGTTAGTTTAATTAGTTTTTAGTTAATAAAAGTGACAAGTAAACTGATTTTCATAACTATAAAAGTATCTTTCCTCGTGGGATCGACCCTTATTTGCCATGTCTATATGTTTTAATGAATACTAATTCATAAAGGGGATTTAGATATATCAACGGGCTTACCTCGAAGCTAAATGAAGGTTTTGAAGATTTTCCGGCGAAACTTCCGGCGATGACAAATTCCAACTCCGGCGATCTTTCACCAAATTGACAACACCAATGCACTCCTCTCACTCTCAAGAATAGAATGATATTAAATTTATTGATTTTTGGTGAAGAATGAAGAGAGTGAGGGTGGTTTATATAGGAGAGAAATGGAGAAGAAGCCAAGCTTGTGATGTATTCATCCCTGTTTTGGCGTCTCAGTGGGAAGGGCTGCGATCTTCACGATTCCTAACGCAAGTCCCTGATTGGGACTAAATTCGGTCCCAGTCGGGGAACATGTTTTTGGTCCAACTTTATCCGAATTGAATTCCGTTTGCACCGTTGCGATCAGACAGTAAAGTTCTATTCAACGATATAGTTTTTATATTTATTTGAAATACTTTTTTTGACAGCATCTTTTTGGGTGGTTGACTTTGACAGAGTCAAAATTGGTTTAATTGACCTTTATTCAAAAAGGTTCTCACATTTAATTCATATCATGGTTTATTTGAAGAATTCATTTCGAAGTTCACTTAATAAATAAATTCTCCATTTATTCTTAATTTGGGTCTATACTCAGGTTCCCAATTAAGATCACACAATAAGTCAACATGTTGGATTTATCTCTATGAGATTTATCCCAAATATGTTTATTGGATATCAATACATATTTTATTTTGGCCTAAAGCATAACAACAATTTATTTTAATCAAAACGAATTTGATTAATTTATTATTTATTTATTAATAATTCTAGGGTATGTTTTGGGGTGTTAGATAAGGAGTTTAGAAATCTCTCTTTATCAAGCTTTTTGGCTAACTGTGAATGAGATAACTTTGTTAGTTGATTGCTATGTTCGTTGTTCACGTGGTTGTTTCTCCATGGAAGCTATATATAGCTGGGTGGATAATCTATCTATTGAAAGGAATAGACTATCCGTTGCATTTGCTGCTTCAATTTGAACGAAGAGTGAGATTGAGGATTCTTCATTGGAATGGGTGTTTGGACATACCCAATTGTTTGAAGAAGAATTCTTTTTTCATAGAAATTGTCCTCTAGCTGTTGTTCAAGAATTCTGGACTGTAGCTCTTTATTGAGTGGAGTATCCAGTTTGTCTTCTTGTGTTTGTTTAGGAATTCTGGGCGAGCTCTTCAATTTGAGAAGTCCAGACTTTTTCTTCATGTCATTTGTTCTTGAATCAGCTTAATTATCCTTAATCTAGCCGTTGAAAATCAAGAAATTGATTTTTCCATACCAACGGGTAGAATTTCTTCATTCATGACTTAGATATTTTTCTAAGTCTTTTGTCACTAGTATGCGTCTAAGAGTTCCGGTCTTCTTTGAAACATCCGGTTCTTTAGCTGGCAGTTCCGAATTAGTCTTTCTTAGATTTCTGGGTGAGAAAGAAATCTGCGCTAGTCTTCCGATCTGGATGACTTAGCCTTCAGCGGGTTGTTGCGAGACATCCGGGTATCATAGAGTATTTCGGATTTGAGAATCTTCAAAGTAACCAACTGCTTTGAGAATTCCTTACTTGTCTCTGACATTTCCGAACAAGAATTCCAATTTCCGTATCACTAGATTTGTTAAGTCTTCAAAGAGTAACATCAAATCACAAAGTGAAATATCACAAGTTTTATTGGAAATCTCAAGAACTTGGTTTTAACAATATTTCTAAAAAGAAAATTACATTGAATATTGGGGGTGACCTAAAGTCCCTATTACATTCTAAATACATCATCATCAAAATCTATAATATTTTTCCAACAGTACCCCCTGCCCGTTTCATTGTCATATTTATGGGGACGGAAGAAGGAGATGAAGAGTTCCAAAGTAGGCTGGATGCCTTTCTTGTGGCATCGGTCCAGAAAGCAAAATAGGGACTCGTGAGAATTGGAGGAGATTTGGCTGGGAGGGATAGAGTACCTGTAACACCCTAATGCGTCAAGGTCTGCAGCCCCTTTCGAACTAAAGTATTAACTTGGTAACGTAAAAATTTCAAACATTTAAAAACTTTATTTCAATAATTGTGCAAAGTATTTCATAATAACATGGGAGTAAAATTATTTAAAATAGTGCGGAAGCGATTTGCAAACTACAACAGTATTGTCAACCATGTGATAAAATCATTTACTAAAATAGTATATTTGTGCACGTCCACGCATCACCTCCATCTCAGTAATCTCCAGAATAGGCTCCACATTTATTCTCTCTCATACCTACGTGTAGAAAGATGAAAAAGTCTACACGCTCAGCAATGAAGCTGAGTGGTACCATGGCACAACAAAAGAATTCAAAGAATAATTGTCTTAAACAATACCAATCATATATGTTCAAACATTTCTTTTTCATATTTAATTCGTCTTTGTTATTTTAACAAGGATAATGAACATAGTCGATTCTTAAATATCATCATTCAAACTTATGTAGTAATTAGTCCAAAATTCACAATCATCACATTTCACTTTTGTTATCACAACATTCATCATTTGTTACACATAATTTCGTATCAAATTTTATCACAATTTGCTCCTAACTTATTCTAAGTTAAGGCTAAATCATATCAATGCTCTTAAACTATTTTTAGTCTAAGTCAAATTAATATTGATAACATAGCTCTTAAACTATATCTAGATTAAGACAATATTTCTAACCAGGCCCTTAAACTATAAATAGTTTAATGCAGAACACAAGAACCGATAATCCACCCTATGAGTCACGTGGATTACGTACCAAACCGAACAGTGATCTGTCGGGTGGGTGATATCCGGTCTGGATCCCGTACGTAGTTTTACCCAAATTGTGAATTGGTCAAGGAGGTATATCTTAGAGTTCTTCTATATATCCTTAATAATCATTATCAATTTCCAAGTGGGTATATTTTAGAGTTTTTCTAGATATCCTTAGCAATATATATCATTTTCATAATCATCAATATATTCATTTTTAATCATGATTTAATCATTCATAATTATTATTTTAATAAGAATATTCATCAAAGTCTGATCATAAACAACATCAATAATAATCATCACAATATCCAAAAACAAATAGCGGCCTAGCATCGAGTGTTAATACCCTAGCTTATCGTCATATATCATATAAGGTTGTTTAGTTGTCCAAACATCATTTTTTTTTACTCTAAAAAATTTTTTCTTTATATAGGTGTATCAAAAATAGGATTTTATATCTTCAAAAAAATAGCATTTTTGAACTTGATGTTCGAAACGGTCGACCGTTAGATATGCACGGTCGTTCGTAGGAAAAACGAAGTTACTATTCATCATCTTCAACCTTTGATCCAACATCCATAGATCAGTCACAAACAATTTAGAGTAAATTCTATAATTGTTCCTTTTTTTGATCTTCTGCTGTGTTGGTGTTAATTTAAAGGCTAAAAGTATAATTTGACGTCAACATTATGTCTAGTGACGTGTTCTGATATTGGTTAAGCGGATAACACAAAAATAATGACTATGATTGTGGGCTAGGATTCTGACGAAAGATCAAATTCGTAGACTATAGTTGTCGTAAAAAGCGACTGTAATTCACAAACGACGCAAACGGAACATCCTTTGGAATTGTGTATGACAAAAAAGATATATTATCATTGTGAAATTACACTTTTAGCCCTCAAATTAACACCAACATGATAGAAGATAAAAGAAAGGACTATTTGTGGAAAGGTACCCATAAAAGAAGGACCACTTGAGTAATATTTAATAAAGAGGACTAAATAAGGAAATTCCTCTATTATAAAGGACCAATTATAGAATTTACTCAACTATTTATTTGAAGCTTTAACAACAAAACAATTTTGGTGATTATGAATATAAGAATATCAAAATATTTATATTTTCAAATATATATGAATCAATAAGTTCAAGGATCATTCCAATGCCTTCTAAAGTTGTTTAAAATTATGGTACAGACATGGAAATCAACGAGATGAAGCTCAACGAACGAACGGGAGCGAAAGCAACGTCGGAAATCACCAAAACCGTCACTTCCTAACACCACTGTACCAGCCCTGGTTTTCGGGCCATATCCCCTTCGTTACTCAATGAAATTGTGAACCGTTTGAAGCTACGGATTCGTAAGACATAATTCTACAACTTGGATTTAGAAACCAGATTAAAATAATGACGTTGAGAGGGTGTAAAAATGCTGACAAGTGTGCTGATTTGCACAGGAGATGTTTTCTTCTTTCAACTTTCCGGGGTAACTTCCAGGAAGAACCGTGGCTACCTCCGGTGACTTTCACGGCGGCGATCACTTGCGGATTCTTCCCCACACAACAAGGAGTAGAATAAAGAAGAATGAAGAAGTTTGGTGTAGGGATGAAGGAGAACAAGTGTTTCTTATATAGGGAAGAAGAAGAAATGAAACAAAAATGTCACTGCTCTAAATCTTTGTTTCGGCTAAGTGGAGATGTGGTCTGCGATTTTCATGCGATCCTGGGAGGTTTTACATGCCTCTCAGTGACTACGACTGATTTTTATCTCAGTTGGCCTATGCTTTTTGTTACAATTTTTCTCCAAATTAAATCTGATTGGACCATTGCGATCAGACAATCAAGCTCTGATCTACGCAACAATAAAATTTTCACATTTTTTCGAAATACTTTTTCTGACACCATATTTTTTGTTGTTGACTTTGACAGGGTCAAAATTGAATTAATTGATATATCATTTAAAATATTCTCATAATCAATCAATATTATTCAATTTAAATATTTTATTTTAATAAATCATTTTACAAAAGTTCAAATCTTTAACCATTTCTAATTTTTGTGCAAATTACATATTTAAAATATCAAATTACATATTTAAAAAATCACAACTCAAAATCTGTACATCAAATTTATTTATAAAATATACTTTTGGATTCGTCTCTTTGAAACCTATCCATAAAAGTCAATCTTAACAAAAAATCATTGACTCCAAAAATTCTTTCGTTTTTGGTCAAACTTAGAAGTAATGTTTTGTTGGGTCAAAATATTGTTTTTAAATTACTTTTATTATAGAATAACTTTTAGACCATGTTTTGGGGCGTTACAGTAGCGGTTGCATATCTCCACCAGAAGCGGATGGATGGGAAATGCCACCCCATCCTGACCAAATCATAATGGACGAGCAAGCGAAGGGGAGTGTTCTAGTTGCGCTCCAAGGTAGTTTCCTCAGCCTCCCAAACTTCATAATTGCGGGAAATTATCGCCCTCATCTCCCTCAGTTGTGCGGCGGTGATGGAGGAGGCATTCTCATCCTCCTTGGACTTCTTGCTGCCATTGAAGAGCTTGGAAGCCTTGGAGATGACTTTCTTCATTTTGGACATGGAGATGAGAGAAAGAAGGCCGAGAGGAAGGTATGAGGTGAGGATTTTTTAGTTGCTAGAAAAGATAAGGTGAGGAGGAGAAGAGGGAGGGTCGGCCAAATATATAGAAGGGAAAAGTGGAGAAGAGAAACAATCCGATTGTGTTAATGAAAGGACTCCAAACAGAATATCCTAGGTCAGCGGTCCACTTATTGTGGTGAGGCAATGACATTTAAGTGGACACAAATACGAAGCGGTCCACAACTAAATCTTTCCTCATGCCAACGGTTCACTATAATTGAAGTGGGGCCGAAACCTTAAATGGGCACAGGAGTCAGACGGTCCACCCTTTGCATGCCAAACAGTCATGCAATGGTCCACACGCACTACAGTCCAAGGGGAAGGATGTGAGTACAAACATCCCACTCACACAAATTATTTACCTGTGGCCCACAAAGGATGCATCATTGGGGAACATCCTCAGGAGTGAATGCAGAGTAACTATTCAGAAAGTGGTTTTTCCCATAGGAAGGAATCTTTCACAGGAAGAGAATAAAAAACTTTCCCAACATGAAGATGCAAGGCATACTACATGAAGATGTCTCTTATTCCTGGACAAGAGACAGAGAATAAGGGATAGACGGACAAATTTGTCCTCAAGTGGACGACATTAAGCTAAGGAATGAGTTTCGGGGAAAAGTGAGGATTGCCCGGATATCCTCTCCAACCACCGTGAATATTTTGATGAGATGGTGGCTAGGAAGCTCCTATAAAATAGGAATAAACTGAGAGAGGAAGGATATCTTGTAATAGAGAGAGAAAACACTTGAGTAATAGAAAAAAGATATTCCGACGATCCTTGAGTCTATTCCGATCCCTAGATGGACCGAATAGAGGAAAGGATCATCGATTTGAGTTTATATCCTGTGCAATACTTTCAATTACAGTCCATTACTATTTTCATATTATTTTCTCATTATTATAAGGCCCGGATACTAATATTTGGACCTGGGCCGAGCAATAGTCATAGGAAAAATATTAGGCATCCATCATATATCAATATAAATAATATAAATATTTAAGATAATATAAGATTAAGAGAGTTATGTATAAAGATTAGAGGATAAGATATAGAAAGAGTAGACAGATAGAAAGAATGTTGTGAACGTGTAATTTTTTTTTAAAAAAGAGGAATTTATATAGAATTTTTATAACCCCGCCCCCAACCACCCAGCCACTCCCCAACACTTATCAGAGCCATTTGGGGAGGCTCCTTTGGTGACCAACCTGACATCCCTCGTCCCACTTGCTTTCTTTTTAATTCAAAAACCAAAAAAACAAAAAAAACAAAAAACAAACGGTTTGAAACTGGAATTGGTTCCGGTAACACCCCTCTTCTCCCCAGAATCGGTATCGTGTTTGCCGGTTTGGGTACGAGTTCTCACCTCCCACCGTGCCGCCGGCACCGGTCCAGGTAACGAACCCACCGATAGCAGTTCGGGACCAAACTCAGGTCCATGTCTAACGCAGAACACACGCATACAACGCAAAAATGTAAAGTATGAAAAAAATAAAGAAACTAACTTGACAGAATTGCTCTCGTCTTCATTGTTAAAAGAAGAGATATGTCATTTTGCACCTCTTATATCACACAACCTTATCCTAGAATAAAGCTATTTGATGAACACAATAACAACAAACTCACTTAGAACGTTGTACTGCAGTTCAAAAAAAAATTGTTATGATAGTTGAACCAAAAATAGAAGATATTGTATTGCAGATGAAGCTTAGATATTATAATTAAAACTCCAAAACAAGTTTTTGTTGTTGCATGCTTAATACCTTTGCATAAAACGAACGGATTCTGCGTGCTTCACGTTTTTTCTTAAAGAAATGACTTATTATGCAACAGTTCTTTTACCACAAGAACTAGTTAACAACTTTTGAAAATTCAAAGACTAATTACCCACTTATAGAAGAACACAAGAGTATTTATGCATATAACTCTAAAATAATTATCACGTGCCAACACCTCTAGAATGATTAACACGTTGATACATGAGTTTGCTTAAAGTATTCTAAAAGAAATTAATGAGTGAGATTCTACCCATATCCGTATTTGATAGACATACAACAAAAAATTCCTAGTTCCACATCGACAATCTCACTGCAGTACTCTAAAACAGAGAAATGCTTATTGATTCTCAAATCGTAAGACAAAAAAATCATACAACATGACAGAATCACAACCTAAAATCTGCATGTGTAGTTTATACATGCTGTATTATTAGGCAAAAGGACCGGTTGCCGCATTATTATATGGAGTATTTGTTTAGGATATACAAAAAAAAACACACTCGCACTTAAAAGCTGATGAGATCTTATGTTATAACAGTCGGAGCTGATCGGCCAGTGAATTCCTCCATCTTAGACAGCTTGAGAGCAACCTCCACCTATGCCAAGATGAAAGAGGGAATTAAGAACAAAAGTTGAAAAATTATTACCAGAGGGATGGGATGTGATGGGGGCATGTAGAAAAGATCGGAGCTAACCAGAGGGGAAAGTGCGTCGTGGGATTCTCTTCCGGTCTTGGATGAATCATTCTCATATTGCTCAATGTACAGACGGATGGTCGCACCCTCAGATCCAGTTCCAGAGAGACGGAAAACCTGGTTTTGTATGGTATCAAATTAATACTACTAAGACATCCCCGAATCGTAGAAAAACACAGTTCTGTTTGAGACATTCTAAATGTTCCCTGAACAGAACACTTAAAAAACAATTGATTGTAGGTAACTGCTAGTATATTCAAGTAGGAATGCCAGTTACTGAATATGACATGATGACCCATGGGGCAATGCTTGAGACCAGAACCCCTTACCAATCGTGACCCATCTTCAAAGAGATATCGGACACCCTGATGACATGAGATGGAGCCATCAACAGGATCCTTGTACTCAAATTCATCAGCGTGGACAACCTTCGAAACATCTTCCCGAATTCCTGCTATAATCCTAAGATATCAAGGGAAAACAATAATGTCAATTCAAAGACTTTTAAGAAAATGAGTTGAAAATCATTAAAAAAGAATTATAGAGAAAGGGTATATGTATCCCAACCACAAGTTAATTTGCACCTGTTTCATGTGATAACACAATGATACAATATACTACCCGGAATATTGCTTCTTAATAGCAGATGAGTGATGACTAGAGAAGCCAATGTTAAAAGTGGTAGTTTGGGAATTTTAATTATATCTGCTACCCGGATGAAATCCAACAGGGGTTTCAAACATTGAGTCCCTATTAGATGTGGCCACAGGGCCAAATCTGATGTCATTAACTAACTATATTTTTGTACTACAGTTTTTTTTGGTTGGTGGGGCCTTTCCCCCGACCCTCTTTGTGCACAGGACTGTCCCTTTATTATTGAATGCATCCTCATGGTTCAACGCAATCTCTATTCAAGGAAAGTGATTGGCTGATTGCCAAAAATTTGCAAAGAGCCTATATTCTTTAGCAATCAATTTTCTAAATATAATGGAGTTAGAAACAGAAACTGAAAAGTGAACCATATAATAGCTACACACTAAATATTCCCATAAAGAAAGTGCTCAGAAAATAAAAAAATGGTACTTGTTAACTTCATCAAGGGAGGATTGCAGGTTAACCAAATGAGCCATCAGTTCCGTTGCACCAGATGCATCAACATTCTTGCAAAACAAAAAATCAGTAGTTAGATATGACATATCATAAGGGATACTCCTCAAGTCCCAAATTAAGGTAATTTTGGGAGTTCGTGCCAAACTTCAACAATTAAGTAAAAAAAAATTATATTGTTATATTTTTATTATGAAATGTAGTTTCAAAATTTGTAAATTTAATGATTTTTCCATCATTATTTTAAGAGAAAATAACAGTTAAAGTTGAGCACGGCTTTTCGAAGAGGCACAACATTTTCGGACAGAGGGAGTGGTAGTTACCTCATAGTCATATCTGGTATAATAGTGGCGTCCATAGGTGGCCCAATGCTGACGAACAATGTCTTCTATTGTTACAAGTTTTCCGCTTAGGTTTTCCTTATTTCTATGCGCCAAAATATTCAGCCAGGCTAAAACAGCCCAAATTCCATCCTTTTCACGAATGTGATCTGATCCTGTTGATAAATAAATAAGGACAAAAGTAAAACACAATGCCTGCAGTAATAGCGTTGGGTTATTCATTGATCATGTAAATGCTAAAGGATTCCTACCTGTGCCAAAGCTTTCTTCACCACAAACTGAGCATAGTCCAGCATCCATTAAGTTACCAAAAAACTTCCAACCGGTGGGCACCTGAAAAGAGAAAACAACTGTAATCAATATGTAGGCTTAACCCAGACCTTTGGTGTCCTACTGAGTTAAAAAGTCTTAAGTTCAAACCCCATTTACACCCTAATATATCCCCAGGTTTCCAAACACTTCCTCTGCATGTTCACACAAAACATGCACAATACAGTAAAACTAAAAGAAAAGGTAAAGACAAATAATTTGTACCTCAAAAAATTTTAAATTGAGGTGTTTAGCCACCACATCTAGAGCAGCTGATGTGGGCATGCTCCTGCAAAAAAGTGGTAGCATAGTAACGTGAAAGAAAATATGCATGGAATAATTTTGTAAACATAAACTTTGTTCAAGTTTCACTGGATTTCAGATTATTAACTGCAGACCTGGCAACTCCTTTTAGGCCTCCAGAAAAGTAAGGGATTGCTTGAACAGCATTAGCAGCTATTANATATGATAGTTAAATAATTTTATACATAATTAAGGATGAATAAGAAAATAGCCAACCGTAATGAAGTAATTTAGTAAAACACCACCTTTTCCCAAGGATCATATTGCGGTCCGCATCTCCATCAGCAGCAGCTCCAAATTCCGGTGGGTTTGATTCGGTGTGAGTCTTAGACAGTCCCATACGCGCAACCAACTCTTTTGCATATGTCAGATTGGGATCAGGATGACCTCCACCGAAGTCCTCCTGCTCACATCAAATAATGTAGAAAACAGAACAGTAACCTATCAGGTAAGAAATCCTTAATGTATAAATTCGTTCCTAATAAAGGCAGATGATCATATGACCTTTGGTACACAGTTTATTAGTGACCCTTCTTCAGCACCAAGCTCATCCACAAATATACGTTTAGCATAAACTCCAGCAACACCATGAAGTGCATCATAGCTAAGTCACAATACATGGAATAGCATCCAATAAACAATCTTAAACTGAAAATATGAACTCTCCTGAAAAAATAAAAGCATCAGATCTAATCATATAAAAAACACTTACCAAAATGTAAAATTTGGAGAAGAAAGCAATTTCTGGATACACTGGAAATCAAATATAGACCTGAAACAAACAAAAATAATTATGACCATATAAACACTAAAAATTGGGGAAAATATAAACTATGGTCAACAGATTTAGACAACAAATGTAACAGAAAAACACAACAAACTACACAAATAGGATCAATCAACAATGACGACAAAATACTACAGCATACTTGATAATTGATAAAACAACATACATTTTTCCTTTATAATAACTCGTGCAGCATTACCATATTTATAGATATCAGAGGGCACTGCCACTTATCAAAATATATTGTTATCAAAGAGCAGCAACAAATTCAAACTAAATGACAAACATGGCATACTTCATCAATTTTACATAGTCAGTAGTAGAATCAAAGACATCGACATCAAATTGTCCTTCTGGTCCACTGAAGCTTTTCACACCTACTGAAGAGATGTCCACCTGTAATGTAATTTGACAATGAGAACTCACAAACACTTCTACATTCTGAACGATAATTAAAAATATATACAAAGCATTGCATAAGTAACAGGTCATACATCAGGCAAGTCCTCTGCAATCAAGTATTCCTTTATTGTTGTGGTGTTCTCATAGATCTTGTTAGTGATACCTTCTGGTGCAGGACCACCATTTTCCATGTTGTATTTAATTCCAAAATCCTATAAGATATCCACCGGCCACATGAAATAAAAAGTAAAACATTGTAGTTGGAAGCATATGATAGGACCAATCAGCACATGCTCGGGTATTTTAATCACTTTTAGAAAGCCTACACAAAATAAAGAGTGGATAGCAGAATAAACATTGCAGGAACCAACCTCATTGGGACCACCAGGGTTGTGGCTAGCTGTCAATATAAATGCCCCATTTGCCTTTGATCCCTGTATCAACGAGTAGAGAAACAAATATTAAAATAGTTAGGGGCATGGTAACCAAACTTTTACATAACAAGAGAGGAAAGCAGACTCGAACATAAATGAGCAAATGTGAAACAAAAGTTAAAAAACATATATTTCTATGGGAAAGAACTTACATCAGCCGAAACTCTTTCACGGATAACAGCAGATACAGCAGGAGTAGACATTAATCCATTTAGACCAACCCAAACGCGTCTAACTCCATTTGCAGCAGACATTTTAATAATAATTTGTAGTAAGAAAAAAAAGAATAAAGTTTAATCTACTATTCTACCAATCTATATGAAGCACCATAGGTTGCCTAAAAGTTGTTGAATGTTGGAGATACAAGTCTAACGGAACAAGTCACCACCTGCTAGATAGTGAAAAGCAATGTTTGGACTTTATAGAAGTAAAATGAATTTGGACTTGTAATCAAATACTGAATCTAAAACATCAGCTTTTTTATTGTTGTTTTCTTAGACCAGTAAAAATTTTGAAATCTTTTGGCTCTTACAAAAAGTAATTGGCTTCTAGAAGACCACACCTAATAAAATAGTGAGATTATAGCGCACACTTCCTGTTCCGAAGCCAGCTTCCCAGAGTATAACCCATGCAGAAACAATTTCAATATCTAAGTTGAAATGCAATTTTGCTTCTACTGATTTTAAAACTAGATAAGTCCAGTTTTATAAAGTTCCTCTTGATGACTACGGATGGAAAGAAATATTTAATCTTTATTACCTAAATCCATGACATTTTTAAGTGTTTTGGCTCTTCCAAAAGAATATAGACTTCACAACAGGAAGTTTGTGCTACATTGTCACTATTTCATTTCGTATGCCCCGTGCAGATACATTTTCAATAACTTGAAATGTCATACGCCCTTCATGATGATATGGCGATGTAGCATTTGTGCAATTTAATTTAATATAATAAGACACTTAGACATCCTGCATGAATTTAGGATCATATTGGCTATTGAGAATTTAGATGTCATATGTATTGCGTTCCTCTAAATGCCTATGAAAGGAAAAGCAAAATTGAATCTCAATCGTGAGCTTTTTATTAGTCCTTTCCCCCCTAAATTTTAGCTCTTCAAAAAAGTTATGGCCTTTTAACTCAAATAACTCAAAAGCTATGGGCTCTTCAAATGACTATGATGTAAATAATTATTAACTCAACACTTTTGCATTAATCTTATACTAGTTTAGACATTTAAGCCAGCAAATTAGCAATACCACTATAACTAAGTTGAAATGTCCAATTGCTTCTACTGGTTTTGAAACTAGATAAGTCCAGTTTTATAAAGTTCCTCTTAATGACTACGGAAGGAAAGAAATATTGAATCTTAATGACCTAAATCCATGACATTTCAAAGTGTTTTGGCTCTTTCAAAAGAATATAGACTTCACAACTGGAAGTTTGTGCTACAATGTCACTATTTCATTTGGTATGCCCCGTGCAGATACATTTTCAATAACTTGAAATGCCATAAGCCCTTCATGATGATATAGCGATGTAGCATTTGTGCAATTTAATTTAATATAATAAGACACTTATACATCCTGCATGAATTTAAGATCATATTGGCTGTTGAGAATTTAGATGTCATATGTACTGTGTTCCTCTAAATGCTTATGAAAGGAAAAGAAACATTGAATATCAACCGTGAGCTTTTTATTTTTCTTTTTCCCCTATAATTTTAGCTCTTCAGAAAAGATATAGGCTTCTAGCAGACTATGATGTAAATGATTAATAACTCAATACTTTTGCATTAATTTTATACTTATTTAGACATTTCAGCCAACAAGTTAGCAATACCACTATAACTGGCTGTGATTCCCATTTCCACGTTCAGCAATGAAGGTAACCGAAATATGGATCAAATTGCAAGAATAAAATACTACAAGTCAGAATAAAAACCTGTCTAAATACCAAACATAAAGCGTGCTACCAAGAAGTGAACACTAGGTCTACTTCAAGGACTACATGTTTACATCACCAAACTCACACAAATTAGCATATCCCAGACCCCCCCCCCCCAAAAAAAAGAATCCCCGCATCACAACGTGACAGCCCTTCTGATCTCTGTTTTAGGGTGACATAATAACTCCCATAGTCACATGATAATTTCTAGTTAAGACAACCTAAAAGTGACGGCAAATCTTATGAAATTGCACCTGGATTGCATCCTTAGAATAGTACCGGCCATCGCCAGAGACCACAAGTGTAGCGCCTGCACAGGAGAAAATGCAATCACGAGAATGCACATTGATACAATAGATGATAGAATGTATAACATCCTGCTACACTTAAAGAGATGAAGATTTTAGTCATTGAAGAAAAGTAAGGGATGCATGTTAGTAATTTCATAAAATGCCAAACTAAACATTATAGCTCATAAAATAAAACCCCAGCTCATCGAAATAAAAACTCCAAACATCTTCCAATTTCCATCAGTAAACACTATTTGCATAATGATGAAACCAAATATCAATGTGATCAAAATCACTAAGAACTTTAAGATGTATAATCATGCCTTAAGCATAGATCTAAGAATTCATGTTAAGAATCTTACACCAATTAAAATAACAAAAAAAGTAGAAAACAACGGGAAGTGATACAGTTTAGGAAGTCAAACGACACTCAAGTCAAATCACACTAAAAAAATAAATTCAATCCATCAAGTAGTGAAGCCCAATATCTTATCAACTCATCATTATTTCTTATTCTGATGTGGGACTTTAACAAGCAAATCCTGATTCATCATCATGGTACAAATGCACGAGAAAGCTATATGGAGGACTGGAAGTAAATCAAATCAAAGGTTACACAATTTTACCATTATCTTCCACCTCAGATTACCGAGTGGACTGTGCATAGACTGTTTTTTATCATGAAACATGGACAAATGACAACGTGAAGGAAAAGTCAACCTCAAATCGATTAAACGTATACGGAATGTTCAGAATAAGGGAATAAAACTTTCAACCTGCATTACTTCTAGTTTCAGTGTTTCACCCAAAGACTTATGAGCAAAATATGCAGGCACACATTTTTGAGAACTAAGAGGTGAAAGAATTATGTGCAAAATATGCAGGAACACCGTTTTAAGAACTAAAAGGTGCAATGGTGTGGTTTTTAATGAATTATGTGCATTAAAAAACTAAAACAGCATTTTGGGTATGAATAAATTCTCCCTGCATAAAAAATCAAAATTTCTGAAGAAACCAGAGTAATTGTAGAAATGATAATAACTGTGAATGACATAGATTCATTTAACCAACATATTCAATTAAAACTATCCATGTTTCATAGTTCCAAACCTTTTTGGAAACACTAGCACTTTTACATAAGTGATTAAAAAAGGCATCACAAGTATATTTACCATGAACTTTATCAACCCCAAGAGCATTGAATGTTGACTGAACGAAATTTTGCAAATACTTAGGTTGCTTGAATACCTTCACCTGAAACAGTTCCCATAATGTTATATTAAATCCATGTAGAGTAGAAGACAAACAAAAGACGTAAGCATCTCTTTCAATAAAAAACAAGCATATGATTGTTTTAGAAGCTCTCATACCCATCAGGTTTGCTACTGTTCAATCTTATAACCTCAACAAGAAACAAGTATATGATTTACGTTGCGTTCTGTTTGCCTGATTTTTTGAAGATCTAATCTGATCTGTTCCTAAGGTTCACAATCTTTTTATGGAGCTTAGTATATAAATTTTATGAATGAATTGGGCTCTTTGAAAAGAAAAAAATCTGCATGTCGGCCAATGAAAAGTGTAAGATGCTCCACATTTCACATGTGGACCTAAGGATGATGGAAGCAAAACTCCTTCACTAGAGCCTTGAGGAATAAAAGTTATGACAATAAAATCACCAAACTATCTATATAGCTGTTTCCTTTTAGATAGTAAATTGACTCAATCCAGTTATACTTTTGTACTTATAACTATAACTGGGCTCAGGAAGCCCACATCCACTACCTCTATGTGGCTTGACCAAAATGGCCAATCCGGAAGTTTCTTGGGAGGATTCAAACTCATTAGTTTAAGTGTCCACACGCACTCTGGAACATGGCTCCCCCTCAAGTGCTGTTTGATTTGATTCTTAATAGACATTCTAGTGTGTTTGTCTGGAGAGAACTTGGCAAAATCTTTTTTTTTCATTTCACTTGGCATGATCTTTAATGCAAAATAAATGATAGCAGGTAGACTCTTGTTTGCCTTGTGCTCTAAGCAAGATTACAATACAAGATGAAGTTCTTAACGCTAGATCTACTACCAATGATCATAGATTCATAAGATAATGAATAATCACCAAAACTAAATCCACATTCCCGTCAAAACGCATTCTAGTAACAGATCACGACTTATCACAAAATGAAGCCACTGAAGTAGAAAAAATCGAACACCACCAAAAGAGGAGGTGATTTCAAGCAGACTTAAGGGATACGATTGGATCAGATCAGGTTTAATCCGATTCCTAATGATAATACAAGTAATAATTAATAACTAAAGACATTTAAAAAATAATAAATCAGTGATCGAGCGCGCAAACCTTCTTCCTAAGGCCTGAAGTTCCAGGCTTCTGGCCATCGAATGGCGTGGTCTCAACGTTGCTAACTTTGAACATCCCCATTTCTTCGTTTCCGCCTCCAACTAACAATCGATAGATCGATAAGCGAGCAGAGAAATCGGAGCGTAGCTGAGTTACCTAAGGGCTTGTACAGAAGGCAAAGAAATCAGGCGTGTGCATATACTGAGTGAGAGAGAGAGAGAGATGAGATGGCCAAATGAGGGGGGGAAGGTTGAAGGGACCTCACTTAGCTTTCGGCGAGAGTCTCGCGGACTCGCGGTTGGTATAGAAACAAATAAACAAGGAAGAGCGTGTTCCACAATCGGAACCCCCAAATTTCTGAAAGAAAAAATTGACCACAGGGTGAAAGTGAAGCAAATCAAACAATGGCCATGTGTCCGGGGACGTTATGGGGTTGACAACACGAGGCAAGTAAGAAGTTAGGAAAAATCTAACGGTCCTGCTAGGGGTACACCGGATCTATACCCCAAATGAACCCCATATACACCCCCTCACTCCCATTCCATAACCCACCCCAAATGATCTCCCTTCCTCACTCACTCTCTCATCCTCCCTCGGATCCCTCAACCCCCCCTCCCCCCGCTGATGATCGATGTAGCACCATGCATTCATCATCACCGCCGCAGGACCTATATCGTGGGATTGATCCTCTCCGCCGCACCGCCAATCGTCTTCGCTGTCTAGAAGATGCACGGTTTGGGCTCCCAGTCACCGCCGTAGAAGCGTCACAACAGCGGCATCATCTTCATCATCATCGAGATCTAGATCGGTGTTGGGGGATGAACCACTCTTTTGACTCCTAAGCTTCTACATCAATTCTTTCTCTGTCGCCTGCTTTTCGTCGACGCCGGCTCCTCCCCTATTGCCACAACATCTTTCTTTTCTTTCAACAGCGTCGCCGGAGTGGGGGAACCTGGTTGAGGTGGTGGTGGACTTTGGTACATAGACATTAGTTGTCTGTTTTCAAAAAACTACTGACATTAATTCTCTATGTGACTTGTAGTACCTATTGTACTTTTTTACAGCATAGAAAAATGATAAAATATTCTAGAATAATAAATGTAAGATATTCTTGCAAAATTGTAAGATATTCTTGAAAATTGGAAGATTTTTTAAAAGACGTGGCACGAAAATCAGTTCTTGAGCACCTTCGGAGCAATAGATTTTCGTTGAGATGCTGGTGCAATTTTCTAAGTACACAAACAATAAATGTCTGTTTTATAACACTCACATAACTTTAGTGTCTATGTAAATAAATAGTCCTGATTGGAGTTTTTTTCATCCTTTTAAATAAAAGAAAATTTGTGAAATGTTATTGATATTGTACTATTTCACATATCTAATGTGTAAAATTTTCATCTAGGTCACAGATGATAAATATCTACGATCAAGAATTACATATATATAATGTTTGTGCCTATGTAACTAAGGAGTGTTAATTATAACTTTTTTACACAGACAAAAAACATCTATTTGTTATGAATAACAGACAATTTTTGTCTATGTGATCATACGTGACTTTATGCATATAATTTTTTTTAAAGTTGTAATAAGAAGAATTCATAAAAAATAGTTGTGACTAAACAAGCACTACACACATATTTCTTTGCACCAATAACAAGCACTACACAGATATTTTGTAATAAGTATGAAAAATGCCCAATTACCACGAGTTTTTAACAAAAAATCATCCATTGAAAAGATTAAAAAAATAATTAAATGACTGAACAAGTATGAGAAACAATGACTCACAAAAAAACATTTATAAAATAATGAATAGTTGTGGAAGAAAATAAATAATGATTCTACAGACATTCCTTGTCTGTGAAATATATTTACACAGAGAGTAAATGTCTATTTTGATTCAGATTACACAAATAGTAAATATCTGTGTTCAAGAAAATAAAGAATTTTAGTGTCCATGTGACTAAACAGTATTGATTGTAATTTTTCATTTTTTTTAACATAAGAAAATTTCTGAAATGTTCTTGGTGTATTAGGTATTTAGGTACAATGTGTAACACTTATATTAGACTTACACAACAATTTTCAAGAGTAGTGAAAGAATTAACACATGACATCTTTCTTTTCAATTTTTGCAACACTTTTTTTAATACTAACGCAACGTTTAAGCCTCCCCAATTATTACAACTTCAAAAACACAACATTGAAATAAAATGGACTAATGGAGTATCTTTTTTTATGTGAATCATATAGTACAATTTACCAAGTACAAAAACTCAATACAAATTACAAGTGACTTGTAAATACATTAAATTCTAATAATTTTCACTATTAAAAATTTTATAAGAGTTTTACAATCCGATATATATGATTATTTGTTGAAATATAAAGGCTTGCTATTGAATCACATATATGTCACTGATAACCTGCACAAAGAAATACAAAAGTAATTAAAAAATAATAAAATTAAAGGGTCATTTGTTTGCATAATCTGTAAAGGTAATCTCTTAACGAATTTCTATTGAACATATGAATGTCTTCATAACGTGTTTACAGTATTTCAACACAGACATACAATGTTGTGATTTGTTGTTCTTTGACAGATTTAATAGACATTGATGACATAGATCCTGTACTTGACATCTCTTTCATTGACATGTTGGATGGGTGCGAGGAAAATAACAACACCATACATGTACAGTGCAAAATATAAACAGACACTTCTCACCTAGTCCAAGAAAAAAACAGACACTTCTTACCTAGTCCAAGAAAAAAACAGACACTTCTCAACTAGTCGAAGAAAAAAACACACACTTCTCACCTAGTCCAAGAAAAAAACAGACACTTCTCACCTAGTGCATGAATAAAACAGACACTTCTCACCTAGTGCATGAATAAAACAGCCACATATGTCTGACATTGGGTAATTTATATAAAACAGAGACTTCTCGCCTAGGACATGAATAAAACAGACACAAAATGCGTGGGACATTGGGTATATTTTTAAAACAGAGACTTATCGCCTATGACATGAATAAAACAGACACTTCTCCCCTATGACATGAATAACACAGACACATCTCCCCACCCAAATATAGTGTTACAGAGCAGTGTACATCCCAGAATACAAAAGTAAAAAACTTACATCATACACAGCTGTCTGGACAAGCTGCTGACCTTCGTCTTGACTGCATTCTGCTCCCCCATCTGCTTGCTTATCCAAAACCTGCTTTACCTTTTTTCCGTTGATCCCTTTCGCTTCATCTTCTTCTTTTTCTTCTTCTTCTTCTTCTTCTTCTTCTTCTTCTTCTTCTTCTTCTTCTTCTGCTTCTTCTCCTTGCCCGTTTCCTTTTCCACACTCTTCTTCTTCTTTTTCAGCTTCTTGTTTTCCTTCTTCTTCCCCTTCTTCTTCTTCTTCTTCTTCTTCTTCTCCTTCTCCTTCTCCTTCTCCTTCTTCTTCTTCTTCTTCTTCTTCTTCTTCTTCCCCTTCTTCCCTTTCTTCTTCTACTTTTTCCTCTTCTGCTTCTTCTTCTTCTTCACAGTGATCGGTCTTCTTTTTCTTCCCTCGATAGTCAGCCCCCATCCTCTTCCTTTTTCTCCCTTGAACGCTCACTACTTCCTCTCCAATCTCCTTCCTTATCATTCGTTCAACCCTCGTCACATGGTCTACCGCCCCCTACCTTTTCCTTCCTACAATCGTGAACACATCATTCACGTCACAACACAAACCATCAATTTTATCCTCCAATGCATCAATCCTTTTGTTTGGAGTGTTCTTTAAATCTTCAACACTTCTAAACAACAAATCAAGTGTGTTTTCCTAAAACAATTTAAGGAAGTAAGTTAGTAAAAAATCAAAAATACATCAAGCATATGGTAATGATGCTTTTATCAAATTCTCAACTATGATACCATCTTATTTGCGACTTCTTCAGGTTCATTAGGGAATAACAACTGCTTTAGAGAGTGGTATTGTGGGCATTTCTTAGCTCCCCAACGTAACAGTGGACATTTTATCTCTCGATTACACTTAGCAACCTCGTCTTCAAGGACTGGAAACGTCTCATAAGCCAAAATCTGAGAAAATAAAACACATGGAAATGAATACTTTAAATTATACATGTTACAAAAGTTGGCGAGAAGTGTCTGTTTTATTCATGTGAGACAGATGATGTGTCTGTTTTATTCATGGCAGACAGATGTTTTATTCTGTTTTATAAATATACACAAACAGATGTGTCTGTTTTATTCATAGCCTAGGCGAGAAGTGTTAGTGTTTTCCATGTCCTAGTCTAGAAGTGTATGTTCTATAAATATCCCGGAATCTGAGAAAACAAGACAGTGTGGAAAACAATAGTTTTTATGAAACATCATATAAAAATATTTAGAGGAAGAAATATGAATTAAACTTACTTGGAGAACAAGTGGAAACCCATACAAAGCATATTTCCAAGACTTCAAATTGGAGTTGTTATTTTTCTTTTCTTGGAATTTTTCTGGTTGGCCATCCATCATTCCCTTCAGATGCCGCACGGTCAAGAGGTATGACTCCCAAGCCCAAGGGTATGCAATGAACACGTCAGTGTCATCAACTACTTCAAGGTGGGAGGCATCAATGCATGTGCCTCTATCTTTCGCTAGCAGCACATGCTCAACAAAATACAACGAGGCAAGCTTATGTAAATCACTGCCGGGTTCATCTTCCTCCGCAGTCATAAACATATTCCGCAAGTGCGCGAACGTGCATTTCACCGTGCCCCCTCCGAGATACTTTTTGGGAATGGTCTGGGACGAAGCCTTCACATTGCTAAAATTTGGATAAGACTTGGAATTCGGCAAACTTGTGATTTGACAAAAATCTTCAAAACTGAACTTGTTAATAGTACCATTGATCATAAACCACATCTCGTCTTCAGGTTGTTCGCGAACGAGATGTAGCATAAGGATATGGATGAGTTGTCCAGAAAATTGGAGCTTCCGCACATCCATGAAATGACCGAATGGCATTTTTCGAAAGTTCACCATATTCTCTACACTCAATTTGCTCCTAACTATGGCCACTGCATCTTCTAGTTCTCCACAAACCGAATACTGCGCAGGGAAGTGATCTTTGGTGGGAACCATAAGTGCCATTTTATTGTACCTACAAAATAAACATCCGTCATTGCCATAGTCACCGGATATAAGAGAGCAAAGAAACCTAATAACCTTAGTGTAGTACTTCTATTAGAGATATGATAGTAATAAATGGGCAAAAACATGATACGAAGCACGTAAGGAAGTAACACTGAACACATACATTCTACGTCTGTGAGTAGCATATCACATACATTTGCCATTTTTTTAAAAACTAAACAATGGAATAAAGATTATTCAGAACTCAGGGTTCATAATAGATGATCAAAAAGTAATAATTGAGACCGATAAAACATGATACAAAGCAGGCAAGAACTGTAAACAGAAAACAGATATTCTGCATCTGTGAATAGCAGTTCACATACATTTTCCATTTTTTCGGACATAAGCATAAATAACGGTAATTAGGAATTTAGGGTTCATAATCCAAGATGAAATTAAGCCCATCTTGGCTATTTAATCAGACCACGCATTTCATTGGTCTATTTAATCGCTGCAATTTACCATTTTGGCTAGAAATTTGATGTAATTAAGCCCTTAAAAGGTAAAAATTCAGCATAATAATACCTGGAAGGTAAAAATTCAGCATAATAATACCTGGAAGGTAATGATGTTGCGAGAGACAATCACCGGCCCTGCGAGAGACAATCACCGGCGAGAGACGGCGATGAAGACAATCCCAGGCGATGATGCTGCGAGGCGCAGGGACGGCCAAGCAGGGAAGGTGCAGCGAAGGAAGAAGGGGCGGGTGGGATAAGGGGGAAACCTAGAGAAAGAGAGAGAAATTTTATTTTTTTTGGGGTGGAGGGAATTTTTTTTGGAGGGGGGATTGTGTGGGGGGGGGGGGGNTCCCCATAGAATTATCCAAAATCTAAAGTACTCAAAGGTGGTGCGCACCATATTTACACGAAAAATGCTAGGGGTACACCTTTGGTCTATCCCATTTGTCCTCCATCCCCTCCTTCACCATATAAATGGATAAAAGATTTAAAAATAAATAAATAATTAAAAATAAAATAAAAATGTGTGGTGTAGAAGGGGGTGGGGGGCAAATGGGATACACCTTTAAAAAGGTGTACCCCTAGCATTCCTCTATTTACACCACTTTCTCATAGAGGCACACAAATAGATTCGGCAAAACAGAAACGGAACTGATTACCCGAATTGAATTATTCGAAACCGAAACCAAAAAATGAAGATCCGATATATAACCGAAAATCCAAAATGATCTGAATCAAACCGAAACCAAACTAAATAATTTATATCCGATTTAAATCCAAAATCGATTAGATCCGAAACCGATAATATCCGAACAAATTAAACTCGAAACCGATTAGATCTAAAACCGATAATACCCGAAACCGATAAAACCTGAAACTAATTAGATGCGAAACCGATAATATCCGAACCCGATTAGAACTAAAACTGATAAATTCGGAACTGTGTTTGCCTTTCCATAAGCATATTATATTTTTAAATTTTTACTTTTATTTTACCATTTGAACTAATTACATTACTTGCCCATTCCCTCATAAAATGGATTATCATCTTGAAAAAAATTATAAAATCTCATGCCTTAAATTTATTATATTTAGAAATTGAAGATAAGTTATACATGTAAAATTTTAGATGAATAAAGTGAGCCAACTATTTTATTATTAACAAAATTAAAGGGAATAAAATATTTGAAAAACAAGGTGGAGCATCAATTGAAAAAAATTAGGGCTAAGAGTTGAAGGTGAATGGAAATTGAGAAATGAGTTGAATGGTGGCATAAGAAAATTGATAAGATTTAGCAGAGAAAGTGAAAAGGAATGGGGGAAATTTTGAGCATAAGAAACTTGATTAAAAAAATGAAGTCTTTGATTAGATATTATATGAAAAATAGAGTAGTAATTTCAGTCTTAAGTTTCGAAATCTAATTAAAACAATCTTATTTTGAAGAAAAAACTTCCTCCATATTAGAAAGAATGCTACATAACGCAAAACAAAGCAAAAATTTTAAGTTTTAAAAATTTATTTTATTTAAAGATGGGCATAGAAATAAAAAAATTGTCTAAATATTTAAAAAATACATCAAAAGTTTTACATAATAAGATGTTACAAGAATAATAGTTTATTTTATCAAATAATAAATGATAACGCACAAACAAATAAAATTTCCGTAATTTTTAAATAGTGTAGTGTGATATTCTTTTTGGGACGAAAGGATTATATGATGAATTGTATGGAATAACTAGATTTTATCTTAATTTCATCAAATTACAAAAAAAAAATTATTGGTTTTGGAGTTAATTTGATTAGTTTCAAACCAATTCACTCAATATTAGTCAATAACATTAGATGTTAGTGTTAGCATTTTGAAAAGACTCTCTAGCGGCAACATTTAGTGTTATAATTTTCAAATTTGATTTACACCATTACATTTAGGTGTAACATTAATTATATTTGACTCTATTAAATTTAATTTTATCTAATAACAACTAAATACACTCAACTAATTTATAAATTTTGCACTCAATTGAATAAAATTCACTTAATTTCATCCAATTTCACTCAATTTTTACCAAATTGTATTCAATTGGAACGTAACACTTTTGAATTTATCTTTTATCTTTTATCTTTTCATTTATATACATAAATATATTAGTAGATGTGAGAAAAATTTGATATATCCAAACTAAATTTTAAAATCAATTTAATTATATTAAATTTATATCATAATTAAATATATAGTTTTTCATAATCTGTAGTCCAAATTTGTAAAATATGACAAAAAAGTCAAAAAGGGAAGATTATTTAGGGTAGAGATACTATAATTAGAAAAAAAATATAAAATAATATGAGGTATTGAATTTATGATAGATTGATAAATGTGATAAAACATAAAAAGAAACATGGATAATTAAATTTTAATTAGAAAATAATGCATATCCAAAATATATTTGATCTGAAACCGAAATATATCCGAGCCGAACTAGATCTTAAACCGACATATATCCGACTCAAAATGTATCTGAACCAAAATTTGTTTGAACCGATTTATAACCGAACCGTATCTAACCGACTTGAAACTGAACCGATCTGAAAAATGTATATAACCGAATCAAATCCGATCGAAATTAAACCGATTTGAATCGAATTGAACTAATTATAACATATATCCGAAAGTTATCCAAACCAAAAAAATCTAACCCAAAACCGATCCGATTGACCCAATTACCACCTCTACACACAAATACGCACTATCTATGTGAAACACAGATAGTGAGTGTCTGTAACCTGGAGTACACCATCTTGAGATGCACCTAGCAAATCCCCAGAAGTTAACATCCGAATTTAATTCTTGATAATTATGTTGAGAGCTAGGTCATGTACTCTTTACCTGATATGAATGGTTCTGATACGATGTGAATGTAGTTATATTTAAAGTTGTTTCTAGTCTGATCTGATTACAATAAGAATAAGGTGTATATTTCATTTTTTGATTACAATAAGAATAAGGTGTATATTCTTGATAATTATGCTGAGGTCATGTACTCTTTACCTGATATGAATGGTTTTGATACGATCTGAATGTAGTTATATTTAAAGTTGTTTCTGGTCTGATCTGATTACAATAAGAATAAGCAATAATTAAAAGAAATAAGTAGAGGTACAAATAGCCTAACTATGCTAAATATAAAGCATATGCGAGTATCAGGTGTATATTTCATTTTTTGTCATCAATCTATTATTAAAGTCAACTTATTTTTCTCAAGTTAGTGTCCCGCAAGTTATGAGTTCATCCTTTTTTTGTGAAATAATAGCCATGTTTGTCCATTAGCTCTTTGGTGGTTGAAGGTTTGTATTTGCTTAGTTTAATTGAGTTATTTCATTTGATCACTTGAATAAGTTAGGTCTTCATGTTAGAATATAAATAACTGTTCCTGGGCCACAATCACAAGCTTGAGCTTTTGGTTGAGTTGGTTCCTTCACATGGTATCAGAGCCTCGTTGACTAAGAGGTCACGGGTTCGAAACTCAGCGCCACCCAGTTTAAAAAAATTAAGGTTTCACGTGCAAGGCTCGAAAAAGACTACGCCTGCACGTGAGAGGGCAAGTTAGAATATAAATAACTGTTCTTGGGCCACAATCACAAGCTTGAGCTTTTGGTTGAGTTGGTTCCTTGACACTTCATGAAAATATGTTTATAAATACTCAATATATGTTCGTAGAATTGTAGATGAAATTATATTTTAAAACGTATATCCATATACGTAAATAGTAATATGAAAGGATAATCTATCTACCTTCTAAAAAATAAAAATGGACTATAATAGCTTTTGCTTATAGAAATTACACCGCCTAAAAAGTTATATTTATTGTTTCATGGTTATCAATATGACACTTTGACCATCACTACAAGAAATTACGGCTTTTGCCACACTTAAACTTGATATTCCCAACACCTATAAGTGCGGGAAAGAGTGTTCGCCACACATGTGCTAAGTGTGGTGGCGGGGAATGTGGGGAAAATTTTGCCACACATAAAATAAGTGTGGCAAATTACTACATTAAGCACACTTATAAGTGTTGCTAATCTTTTCGTTTGCCACATTTGTAAGTGTTTCCAACACACCACACATGTAAATGCAGCAATTTTTAATTGTTTAAAAAAAATAAAAACTATAATTAATATAGAATGAGGTACTTCATCATGACTTATAAAATATAATTTTGTTAATGAAAACTTTATTCAAATAAACATATAAAAAGGATGTTTTTAAACGAATAATGTAATTAAATATAATACGACACCAGAGGTACAAGGTGAGTGGGTAGCCTTTATCCCAACATCAAGGCCTGAAAAAGAAATAAAACTACCTAAACCATAAAAGCTCAAGTAAAAAAACTGTCCTTGGAAAAATAGCTTCTCAAAACTAGCAGTAGATGAGCACAATTCATATAGCCTCATATTGCAGCATTGGTACAGCTTCAAATTGCAGTAGCTAATTAATATAGCTTCAGGTTGCAGCAGCAGGTCCTATTGCTCTAATTCATATTGCTTCAGATTGCAGCAGCAATTCATATAGATCCTATAGCTTCAGACTCTTGCCGTTAATTGATATAGATGAGCACAAGTTCATATGTTCATGGTACCAGCTCTAGTATAGCAGAAGTAGCCCACCATGATGTGGACTGAATCCTCAACTAGCAGTAGCCCTATGTAGAACAGTCAGGTAAGAAACAATCAAGACTCAATATCATGAATGGCATAACCTGATCTGATCTCAAACAATTTCAGGAAAAACTATAAAACACAAATGAGTTTAAAAATCTACTTAGTGTTGTATGCACAAAACAGAGATCACCAAAACAAAAATGAGTTAAAAAACCATAAAACACAAATCACCTTAGAGATGACTTATTGCACTAACACTTTCTACTATCTCAACTCTCAAGCACCTCCAGATGTTATAAAGGAAGGTATTCCAAGCATATGTACTCTAGATGTAATACCAGGGTAGGCATGACAGCACCATAGCCCATAGAAACCATTAGAATGATTAAACTTTCACCATATACAAACCAATTAACACCATAGACTGAAAAAATAATAATAACATCACCATCACAGTAAAGATAAGATCAATTGAAGAATTGTGATCCATTATCCAACATTAGAGTAACATCATAACATGTTCATATTACATAAAAAGCATATGTTTACCTACTCCCCTTCTTAAAATCAGAAACATCGTCATCAGAAATATCACCTGCCATCCATGAATAAGTAAAAAATCATGTACTTTTACTCATGCATCGAAAAGTGTGTCAAAATCACCTCACTGGATTGGAGCCAGACTCCAATTACAATCTTGTTGGTTTGAAGGACATGCAGTGAGGTCATTTTGCTTTAGTAAATTAAGCAAGTCCAGTAAGCCAATTTTATTTTTAGGGCACATGGATGTAATTGTTGGTGCATTTTTTGGAGTTGATAATACAAATAAAAAGGTTTCCAAAATCTATACCTTGTCATGTGATGGAGCCCTTTTAAGTTGGGGTTACACGAACACAGATGCAAAATCTGGTGAATTAGGTAGTGGTTTTTCTGAACTAGATTCCCCAGGTACACCAGAACAAAGGCAAGGACCTAATGGGAAAGTACATTATGATGTTAATTCTAGCAGTAACCATTTCAAAATTTTTGTATGAAGAAAACTTATAGAGTATCAATTACCTATTAAACAAGGATTCAGAATCATTATCAAGTGTTACTTGTAAATACTAAAACATAAAAATTTTCCTGAAATTTAACAATAACATGTAACAATCATAGAACGTAGTGTTGCATTTGGTTCAAAATAGAAACAAAATCAATGATTTCACAGGATTACAGAGAGCTTCAGATTGTTTATGCCCAAAAACACAAACAATTCTACTAGAAAATGACAGTAAGCGGGGAATCAATACATAAACGAAGAGGAAAATGAAAAATAGGAAAAAATGATCATACCCTTGAAAACACTGTTGTCTGTTTTGGCTTCTTCGTCGCTAGATTCTCACATCTGCTCGATACTCTGCATCTTGATAAGAGATCCAAGGTCGGGACCTAGGGTTACATGTCGTCTCCCTCCTATTCTCAACATCTGAATGATCAAGATGAAGAATTGACTCGACTGATGAAATATTTTAGATGAAGGATCGGGGGTGAAGGATCGAAGTTAAAGAATTGATGCGCGATACGACTATGGCAAAATGCAAATTTTCTTGTAGTGCATTAATAACTAAAATTATACGTATATAAATATTATAAATAAACTTGATGTATCAAAACTACATCATAGAAAATGAATCCAATTGTATTAAGTTCACAATATAATCAAATGTACTTTTTTCATTTCTTCAAAATACACATTTTTGGAACAAAATTATTCTGTAATTGTTTTATGTAGTAAAAAGGAGAAACTTGGAAAAAGGTGGAGAACTAATTATTCTTGGCTTATAAAAATATGGGAAATTCTTGTGGGTGGTGCTAATGTGCATGTTCATTTTATAAACCTTTATACATTGATATCGTAAAATATTGACCTTTTAAAAATAAGATTCACTTGTCAACTCATAAAAATGTGAAAAAGTTCATATTTTTGACGTGAACCTTAGAAGCACGCAAGAACAACCCTAAAAAAAATTGTTTCAATTAGTAAAAAGGAGAGAAAATAGAAAAAGGTGGAGAGTTAAAAGAAGTGGAGAATGAATGGGGCAAAATTGATATCTTCTCCATTATTCCAAACAACTAAGCACAAATGTTCATGAAAAAATATTACATGACACCTGTCCAAATTTCTTTATTATTTATGAATATCAACAAGATTAGGCTTATTAAATAAAACTAGATTTTACTCGTGTGTGGCACGATCAAGATAATATACAAATAATTTATGTAAAGAAGTTACAACATGCAAATACAGCAACACTGAAAACGAATTTTATTACACTTTACACCAAATCGAAGTGTTATCTATTTAGAAATTAATCACGTTTGTAGTGTTTTAATTTAGATAATTTAAAAGTACATGATACAAATATAAAAAATTATAAATTTTGGAGTACTTCTTTATACACAATATTATTTTGAAGTGTAGTCTCAAGTATTATTTTCTTCATTGCAAAATAAGATTTTCAATCGTTCTTGATTTCTCACACGGGAGAAATTAAGCGACGTAAAAGTGATTATGACTAATGACGGAAATTTTAAGCAATAGTCTAACATGTGATAGAGATTGTCCCTGACTTTTGTTGATCATTATTCCATACAGAGTCATAACGAGAAATTGTTTCCTTTGAAACTTGAAAGTAATCTTTTTATCCAACACATTCAAAGCAAGTCTATGAATTACAACTGCATGACCAACACGTTTCTTGGTCATAACTTATCCTTAAAAGTAAGTGTTTCCCTAGTCTTGTCATTATCAATCATGTACTATTGGGGTACCCACCTTAAATGTAAGTACATGGTTTAACACACCGCAAGCTCAAATACCATTCAAAATTTTGTGTGAATGTAAATATGAGATCAGAGATCACGGGGATCCTGGGTGACAGATCACTTCAGACTTAAAGGAAGTCTAGAGAGAGTGAATTCTTAGACTAATTTTGTAAATGTTGTATTCATATTAATTAATCGGTTTTCCATCCCCCTCCATAATGCTGAAGGGGTAGCATTTATAGACAGAAGGGCTTGTTCCCCAAGTCTTGCTATTTTTGGCGCACAGGCCACGTGGGCTTATAACTAACTTTGATAGATATTTGTTGTTATTCTGGCCGACCCAAAAAATTGGGTCAATCACTGATCCGTAATATACAAACAAGCATATATAACTGGCGCTCAGCCGTTGTGCCCGCACAGCCAATCTTGCTTTATGGCCGACCTTGGCCTCTGGCGCGGTCCTCTTCATTGATTTTTGTGGTCTTCTTTGTAACATTGCAACCCACACCCTAGCCGAAATTGTTTTCTTATAAGATTATGGAGTGGCCCCAAAAACTAACCCAAGTCTTTCCACTACAAGAAAAGATGGATAAGATGACACCAATACAAGACACACATCTTTAAAAGTGTCATTACAAGTTATTAAAGAAACTTTATGTCTCCAATATATTATACGGACGGATTTACGGAGTATGCAAAAAATGTTTTCATCTAGGGTTATTGAGATTGGGGAATCCTCTGTTCCCGTCTTCCAAAATCAGCTCCGTTGTCCTATGCCTATATTGTTCCCGGCTATCCCAGGTGTGCTCACTTCTCTCGTCTGTGACATAATCTGGTACTGCTGCACCACGAACAAGATCACTTTCACTATTCAGATCATTCATGACTCAGATACTCACGACATGACCAAACCACCTCAGGTATCCTAAGAACAATTGCATGAATTTCCCAATAAAAATAAAAATCCTTATTGCTTCAATTAACTTTCAACAAGGATTCGTGCATTTCATTATCACTTACAGTCAAAGGGTTTCCATTTGGCTTGACTTCAAGGGTTATGAGTGGCAAGCAATGTTGGAATGCATGAGTTCAACCCTTTCTGTGTTGTTAAGTGTTGACTCACAGGTTTTGATAATTGACAAACACAATTTATTTAAGTCAAGATCAAAGTGCTACATCGACAAACAATAAGACTTAAAGTGCCATCCCTTGAAGTATTCAAAAAGGTGCATTTGATTTTATTGAAGTCTGAGACGCGTTCGGAGCGCCTAACGGAGGACTCGGAGGAGTAGAAGATTTTTCCGAAGACTTTTTATTTATTTGAGTCTTAGGAATTATTGTAAGGATGACAAACATATCTTCTCTCCAAAATGTATTTTTATGAGAGTTAAAATAAAAATTATATTTATTTTTGGAGTCAGTTGAAAAATCCCTTTAACTGTTCAAAATACATTTATTGAGTCAGTTACAAAAAGTGTGTCAAACATTTATTGTTAAATATATCAATTATTTAATATATTTAATATTATATATTATAATTATGGTTGTTACCTATTATAGTTAGAGTTATTATTATATAATATTACCTTATATAATTAGCCATTAATGTGGAGGATTCTAGAATATATTCCTCCACCTATAAATACATACTTTGTATTCCTCTTCTATTATTCAAGCAATAAAGCATAATTTATTAATTTTACATGGTATCAGAGCCACCGTTCTTGGTGACCTAAATTTCTCCGCTTTCGCTTCTGGCGGGCGGCACCGCCATTAACCGCCGCCCGCCAGATCACTGTTTTCCTCTGATCCAAATTCTTCACCATCTCCTGAAACTACAAAGTTTTCTAGTTTTTTTGTTGTCCGACGACTTTGAAAAAAAGAAGAGGTCTAAATCAATTCCTACTCCACCAAACTACCGCCTCTCCTAGCGCCAAGATTGCACCTGTTCACTCGAGAGTAACATGAGGTACAATTAGTGGGTAGATCTTCGGTCAACATTCATCTCCGGCAGTACCTCATTCCTTGTGTTTCTTCTCTAACCCAGTCGCGCACGACTCCAGCGCGCGTCAACCTTCTCCCTCTTTCGACGTCAGCAACATGAGTCTGTTCGCAGCGGCTTTTCTCCTCTCCTCATCAGTGCCTTCACATCTCTTTCCTGGCAATCTTTCTTCTTTTCTTCTAGGCCGGATGCATTCAGTCTACTCTAGCCGAAGATATGCCTCTAGCTTCTGATTACAATTCTGGTCACGATTTAAGTAAAGTTGGTGTTCAATCTTCACCGTTCAAGACGTTGGGAGCATGTTAAATATATCAATTATTTAATATATTTAATATTATATATTATAATTATGGTTGTTACCTATTATAGTTAGAGTTATTATTATATAATATTACCTTATATAATTAGCCATTAATGTGGAGGATTCTAGAATATATTCTTCCACCTATAAATACATACTTTGTATTCCTCTTCTATTATTCAAACAATAAAGCATAATTTATTAATTTTACATTTATCAAAATATTTATTTTGATATTAGAAAATATTTTTGGAAAGCAAAAATATTTTATTCAAATATTTTCGTGTTCATCGTTTGACACACAAAATAATTTTGGGACTCAATTTCTACACTCCAAATATATTTCATTTATTCAAAATTAATTTTGAATAATGTTTGAGATGATGGGGAGCCTTTCCCCTGAAATTTTTGTTGGAAACAACCTATAAGCTCCATTTTTGTCCTTCACCTCGCCCACATGCTTGTGTTCTTCATGTTTGGGCATTATTGACAAGATAATCGATTAACCCCATTTGAGTTAATCGATTACCATGTCTAGAAGGAACTAATCGATTTTTTCAGCTGCTTTAATTAATTTTTTATGGTGCACTAATCGATTAAGATGTTGCATTTATCGATTAGGATGATGCATTTTTCATCACAGCTTCTTTTCTTGGGCCAACGGATATATTTCTTCACCTCTTATTTAAACACCCTTCCTTGGTCATTTTTAAAAACAAGAAACACTCCAATACTCCCCATTCTTGAGGTGTTAATCCTCCATCAATCTTTCCTCAAATTTATATCATTTTGAGAGAAAACTATTTGCTTTTAAGAGAGGTTTCTTGTCATCCATTAGAGCAAAACAATTTCTCATTCCTACTCTTTTGAGAGCTATTGTTGAGAGGTTGAAGAAGATTGTTCTTCTTGTTGTTCAAGACTCATGTGACTTAAGTCTTGGTTGTGAAGTCTTGTAGAGGGTATATCTACGAGCAGTTGTGACGAGGCTTGTGGGATTCAAGTTCTCGAGTTGTAAACGGTTTGTTTAGCACCCATAAGCTTAACGGAAGTAGTGGTAGCTTCGAGAGAGTCTCTCGGGGAACTGGACTAGCCACGAGGTGGTGAACCAGTATACATCGGTGTGTTCTTTGCCTTCTCTCTTTTATTTCTGATGCACTTACATTTATATTATTAATCCTGCAAAAATCGGTAAACATTATCAACAACTCTATTCATCCCCCCTCTAGAGTTGCACGCCTTGTCTAACAAGCAATATCCCTTCATGGTTTTGTTTCTGCTTGCATCTCAGCTTCTCATTTGAAACTACTTGATATGGGGGAACATAAATATTTTAGCGAAACAATATCAGGGATTGTAAAGAAACTAATGGGGGGCTATTCAATTAGGATTCTGTCAGATTTTTTTGGATTTTGAAAATCAGTAGGTATTCAATTTAGATTTTAAAAAGTCA